CAAAAGGAAGTCAATGGAAATTGGCAGCCTGTCCCATCAGAATCAGAAGTACTGCATGATGGACAGGTACTCCAGTTTCTTGATATTTCAAGACACTGATGCTGCAACATACAGATGCTATGTTGTTGGACAATCAAAAGTTATCTATCATGATACACAAATAGTTGTTGAAGGTAAGAACTCTCTCTTTGAATGTTTTTTATTTATTACTTTAAAAAGATTTTGATATTTACATAATCTTGTACAATATAAACCTGTACCACCCATTATGAGCACTGATAAAAACTTCTCATTTTTGTGCTCCCCACTATAGGTTCCGCATTTAGATTTGGCCTTGTCTGTTGATTTGTTGTTGTGTGCGTTCTCCTGTTGTCGCATGTAGCCCTAAAATTGCTTGAGGTAGAGTTAACAATATTAACAGAAATGTTGATCAGCATGTGAAGCTGTGCACCTGGGGATTTGCTGGTTGATAAATACAGTTTTGTCACAGTTTTTGCCATTGGCTTAGTAAAAATTGGCATTTTAATACGCCTGTTTGCAAAATGGATTGTATTATAGTTTCCCCCCTGGCGGACAGGCTGGTGGCTGGGCCACATCCAATTTTTGTCCTGAGCACATCTCCAACACGCATTGAGGAAACTTCATAGAAATGTTCACCAGTATGAGAAGCTGTGTTGCATACATGAATCAGTTCTATAGATCAAAGGTCAAGGTCACACTTATAGATCATTGAAAAAAAATGCTTGACAAGAGCAAAAACTTCTAAATCTCATAGAGGGATTTAAATATAACTAGGCACAAATGTTCACCATTGTGAGTGGAATGTCATGTGCAAAATTAAGGTCCCTGCGGCCAAGGTCAAGGTCATATATAGGGGTCAAAGAAAGATAAAAATATGAAAATGTGTATTTGGACCATTTAGTCATCATTTATCGAGGGATTGATACATAAATGGTCATTATCATGACTAGGGGTATGAAACATTTAATTTATGTTAATATATGCAAGGTCAAGGTCACTAAAGGTGATAACAGATAAAGATTTTGTCCAGAGCATATCTTTTACACATATGGAGGGATTCTAATGAAACTTTATAGAAACGTTCACCACTATGAGAAGCAGTGTCATGTGTTGAACCATGTCTCTAGGTCAAAGGCCAAGGTCACACTAAGGGGTCATTGAAAAACGCATGCATAGAGGGATTTCAATATAACTTGGCACAAATGTTCAACATTGTGAGGTGAAGTGTCACATGCAAAATTTATGTCCCTGCAGCCAAGGTCAAGGACACACTTAGAGGTCAAGTTCAAATAAGATATGAAAATGTGTATTTGGATCATTTTGTTATCATTTATAGAGGGATTGAAACACAAATGATCATTATCATGACTATACGTGTGAAACATGTATGTAAGGTTTTTATATATATGCAAAGTGAAGGTCACTAAAGATGATAAAATATAGAGATACAAGAAAAACAATAAAAGTGGAACAAACAATCAACACAGGATAAGTTTTAAGGTTTATTTAATGATGATAACCGACGTTTCGACTCTCACGAGTCTTCATCAGGGTTATAAAATATAGAGATGTTCAACCCTTTGACAAGCACTGTCATGTGCATGAACTAGAAATCTTGGTCAAAAGTCAAGGTCACACTTAGAGATCATTTAAAGAGGCTTGTCGGGAGCAAAACTTTAGAAGGATTTAAATATAACTTGGCACAAATGTTCACCATTGTGAGATTAGGATTTAAATATAACTTGGCACAAATGTTCACCATTGTGAGGCTGTGTAGCTTGCAAAATTAAGGTCCCTGCGGCCAAGGACAAGTTCACACATAGGGGTTAAAATTTAGGTCAATAATTTAGGTTAGTATATGCCAGGTCAAGGTCACTAAAGATGATAGTCAAGATCACTAAAGATGATAAAATTAGAGATTTGGTTCAGAGCATATCTCCTACATGGAGGAATTCTAATGGAACTTCATACAAATGTTCACCACTATAAGAAGCAGTGTAACGTGCATGAACCAGGCCTGCAGGTAAAAGGTTGAGATCACTCTTATAGTTCATTGAAAAATGCTTGTTTGGAGTCGAACTTCTACATTCACTGGGGGATTTTAATGTAACCTGGCACCAATGTTCACCATTACAAGGCTTATTGCACAGTAAGGCTCCCACGTTTACTTCTTTTGATAAACGTTGACACGATTACCAAAAACTGAAATGATACTGTTTAAACGGTGGTGCTTCTAAGTAGTATACATTAACCCTGAATTCAAGTTGCTAAATGATTACTTACTTTCTATTTTTAATACATAATAATCATGGTTTGTTACAAGGGAGTCAGCACAAATTTTCTACACTGTATTCCTGTTTCACTCTTTTGAAAGATCAACTTTACCAAAAAAGTTCTTTGTCACAAAGCATTTATTGCACGGTGATTCTGCGTGAAGGTTGTGAATGCCCTTATTCTGTTTTTATGCTCCCAGAAAAATTTCGGGGGAGCATATAGTCGGCGCCTTGTCCGTCTGTCCGTACGTCCGTTCAAACCCAGAGGAACTTGTGTGACTTGGAGAACAATGGGTAACAGTGATCCTATTCATTCCGTTTTTACTTGTGTGTCTTTTTTAAGCCTTGCGCGACTAAAAATGGCCAAAAAGATCAAAGGAAGAGTCACATAAGTACCATTTTGTGAGTATGTCCGTCTGTCCGTCCGTTGTCTTGTCCGGAGCATAACTTGAAAACCCTTGGAGATAATTTGTTTAAACTTCATACAGTGGTAGAGGGCATTGAGGGGGAGTGCAGTGTCAAAGAACCATAACTCTATTTTGCCTGCTTTTTAATTATCTCCCCTTATAGAAAAATCTTGTCCGGGACATAACTCTAAAACTATAAGAGATATCAACATGAAACTTTGAAGGTGAATAGATCTCAATGTAGATGTGCAGTGCACAAGAATCATAACTCTGCCCTGCCTAATTCTGGAGTAATTGCCCTTTGTTTATTTTTACTTTTTGAACTTTGTTTGGGAAATTACTCTAAAATTATAACAGATATCAACATGAAACTTTGTAGGTAGATGGATCTAAATGGGTAAATATGCAGTGCACAAGAATCATAACTCTGCCTTGCCAAATTTTGTAGTAATTGCCCTTTGTTCATTTTTACATTTTGAAGTTGTCCGGGACATAACTCTGAAACCATAAGAGATATCAACAAGAAACTTTGTAGGTTGATAGATCGCATTGATTAGAAGTGCAGTGCAAAGAACAGTAACTCTGCCTTGCCTAATTTTGAAATTATTGCACTTTGAACTTTTTCCAGGGACATAACTCTGAAACTACAAGAGGTGTACTTTCCTGTGTCCAAAACCTATTCCGGGAGCATCACCCGGCTCAAACCGGGCTCTTTTTTTTTACTGGGAATAAATGAATTAGAATTGATAAAATTTATGATCACAGGTATTAATTATATTATTTTGATAATTTTGTTTAAACAGTAAAAAACATCATAAACATTTAAGAATGAAAATCGAAACAAATATGTATAAACGTGTAACTGTGGGGACCGTAGGCAGTAGAACAGCGCTTGGAAATTAAAGACATTTTTTCAAAATTGTTCAAAGAATTTCCAGTCTCACCAAAATCACTATGGCTAGAGCTTAGATATATGTACATTTTTAGTGGGTCTCTACCATGCCTGAGGTAAAAATGGTCATAGGTTTTCCTTATATGTATTAATAAAAACCTTCTCCTCAGAAATATAGCATAGCTTATATTATATTTGTTATGTAACATTATCTAGTTAGTTTCTACAAAGTTTTTTCAAATCATACCCCTTGGGTCAAAATTGGCCCTGCCACAGTTGTCAACGTTCCTGTTGCCATTCCCCAAACTTTAAAACGTTGATCATAACTTTTTGAATTCTTAGTGTATTGTGTTCATATTAGGCCACAACAACACCTGGGAGAAGACCTACAAGTAGACTAGACTAAACTTATAAATTGAAATAATTCTTTGCACACAGTTGGAACTTCATTAATTATAGGTCAAGTTCAAATTTTTATTCAGACCACCTATTTTTCAAAAAGTCAAGGTTGCTGGTCGGGGTATCACCTTTAGATATAGCTCTGGTTTAAAAGCTTTTGTAAGGGGCCATTGGCCCTCTATTCAATAAAGGAAAATATCAGCGGCGCAACCGTCCATCCGTCTGTAAACTTTTACTTTAAATTACATCTGCTCATAAACCTGTGAGCCAATTTCATTCACAATTCACAGGAATCTTAATTTGGTGGTCACCTTTAAAAATTGTTCAAAAAATTTAATTCCATCCAGATCTCTGGTTGCCATGGCAACCAGAAGAAAAAACTTTAAAAATCTTCTTTTGAAAAACCCAAAGAGCTTAAATACTTGGCAGGAAACATCTTCTAGTGAGTGTCTACCAAATATGTTCAAATAAAAGCCCTGGCGTCAAAATCTTCTTTTAAAAAACCCAAATAGCTAGAGCTTAGATACAGTTGACTCTCGGTAACTCGAAATCCAATGGACTGGGCATTTTACTTTGAGAGAAATGGAATTCGAGTAACGTGGAACTGCCGCCATTACGGTGACATTCGTGCATGTATATACATGTACCTGATTGAATGTGCAAAGAAGTAGGTTTGTTATTGTTGTTTATGTAAATCTTAATTTAGTTATCTAACTGTCAAACCAATTAAGTCCTGAAAGCGCTTAAAGCCACTTTTACGACGTGTTAATAATACATGATGACTGGCAATTAAAGATTACTATGAAACGTGTAAATCACGAGTGACAACATCTTACCTTGATGTCGCCGACCTTTGATCAGTCGGCTGTTTTCACACTTCGACTAATTGAGATGAAAATATGTTGAACTTTAATTGACGGGACCAAATTTTCTTTTCGACTAAACAGGAGTCTCGGTAAGTCAAAATTTGACCTAAGCGGAGTTAAAATACAAAGATAAAGACGGAAATTTGATGGGACTTTAGAAATTCTTCGACTAACGCGGAATTTTGAGTAAAGCAATTTTAACTTATTGACAGTCAACTGTATTTGGCCTGAAACATCTTCTAGTGAGTGTCTACCAAGTATGTTCAAATAAAAGTCCTGGGGTCAAAATTGGCTGCGCGGGTGGGCTCATTGATTTTCCTTATACAGTGTATGTATATAATAATATGAAAAACCTAAAAAAAAATTATTTTAAAAAACCCAAATAGCTAAAGCTTAGATATTAAGCATGAAACATCTTCTAATGAGTGTTGACCAAGTTTGTACAAATAAAAGCTCTGAGGTCAAAATTGGCCCCCCTCGGGGGTGTTATTGATTTTTCTTATATGTATTCAGGAAAAACTTCAAAGTTTTTCTTTTAAAAAAACCCAAAGAGCTAGAGCTAACATATTAAGCTTGAAATGTCTTCTACAGAGTGTCTACCAAGTTTGTTCAAATAAAAGCACTGGGGTAAAAATTGGCCCCACCCTGGGGATCATTGTTTTACCATGCATGTATGTAAACACTAAAAACTCTTCTTTTTAAAAACACAAATAGCAAGAGCATGGATATTAAGTATGAAATATCTTCTAGTGAGTATCTACCGTGTTTGTTCAAATAAAATTCCTTGGGTCAAAATTGGCCACGGCCCAGGGGGTTGTTGATTTTCCTTATATGGATATAGAAAAAACACCCCCAAAAAAATCTTCTTTTAAAAAACCAAAGAGCTAGTGCTAAGATATTAAGCATGAAAAATCTTCTAATGGGTGTCTAAATAAAAGCCCTTGGGTCAAAATTGGCCTGGCTTTCCTTATATTTTGTAAAAAAAAATCTTCTAAAAACCAAAAAAAGGTAGAGCTTAGATATTTAACATGAAACATCTTCTAGTGAGTGTCTACCAAGTTTGGTTTGTTCAAATAAAAGCCCTGAGGTCAAAATTGGCTGCAGGGGGGGGGGGGGGGTCATGGGTCATTGATTTTCCTTATATGTATATATGAAAAACCTAAAAAAATCTTCTTTTAAAAAACCCAAATAGCTAGAGCTTAGATATTAAGCATGAAACATGAAATAATGAGTGTCTACCAAGTATGTTCAAATAAATGCCCTTGGTCTAAATTGGCCCCACCATCATTGATTTTCCTTATATGTACACATCTTTTTGAAGTGTTTTTATGCCCCCGGGCATATAGTAATTGAACCGTCCGTCCGTATGTCTGTCCGTACGAGGTTAACCTAGAACGGCAAGTTGGATTTTTCTTAAGTTCTACCTGTAACAATGGCTTCTTAGTTTACACACTTACTAATCAATACAAAGTACATGATCTGGTCAAGTTACATAACTATGGCTTCCATATTTACCAAGTTATTGCCCTTTTCAGCACTTAGAAAATGAATAATGGTTAACCTAAAAGCAAGTTGGAAATATCTTAAGTTCTATCTATATTAATGGCTTCATAATTTCCACACTTACTTATCAATACAAAGTACATGATATTGCCAAGTTATATAACTGTGTCATCCATATTTCCCAGTTATTTCCTTTTTCACTTTGAAAATAGGGCCTTGTCTGGTTAACCTATTCCGGCAAGTTGGATTTATCGTAAATTTCTCTTAATTGCTTAATTTATTTAATGATAACTTGCATATTTGGTAGGTGGATACCTTCAATGGTCCTCTAATTTTTTGCGGAGTAAGTGGTCTCTAGGGTCAAGGTCAAGGTCACTGGTTTAGAAAATAAATTTAAACATTTTTGCTCATACAGCCTTTATTTTTTGGTTGATGTCTTTCATGTTTATTACAAACATGCCAAGGGAGGTCCTCCTTCTTTGGGTATACATGTAGTAAGGGGTCATTTGGGTAAAGTTCAATGTCACCAATGTCAAGGTCACCAATGTTAAAAAAAGATTTTTACATTTTTACAGGTGTATTAACCATATTCTGTAGACAGATGTCATTTATAATTGATAGGAGCATAAAATTTGATGGAGTTAGTGGTCAGTTGGGTCAAGGTCACAAGTGCTAAAAATAGATTTTTACACTTTTGCTCATACAGCCTTTATTTATTTACAGATATTTTTCATATTTGGTAGGAAGATAACTTGCATGGTATTCATCCTTTTGATTGGGGTAGGGATCAGTGGGTCAAGGTCACTTGTGCTAAAAATAGATTTTTACACTTTTGCCGATACAGGCTTTATTTATTGACAGGTGTATTTCATATTTGATAGGAAGATAACTTGCAGGGTATTCTTCCTTTTGATTGAGTTAGGGATCAGTGTGTCAAGGTCACTAGTGCTAAAAATAGAGTTTTACACTTTTGCCCATACAGCCTTTATTTATTCACAGATATATTTCATATTTGGTAGAAAGATAACTTGCATGTTTTTCTTACTTTGGATGGAGTTAGGGGTCAGTTTGATCAAGGTCATCAATGCTCAAAATAGATTTTAACATTTTTGTCCATACAGCCTTTATTTATTGACAGGTGTATTTCATATTTGGTAGGAAGATAACTTGCATGTATTCTATAGGTGTCAGTGGGTCAAGGTCAAGGGTGCCAAGTATAGATTTCTTACATTTATATATATTTGATAAAGTTGAATATTTATCACTTCACAAGTCATAGCAATGACTTGGCAACTTATATATTTCACAATTACAAAGTGCCATAACTCTGTCAAGCTATATAACTTGTGTTTACAATTTTTTGGCAATGTTTCTGTCCATAACTGAGTGAATGGGTAAACATTTTTTGAAATATTGCTACTGACAAGACTCGGGCTGGGGGCATTTGTGTTTAACAAACACGTTCTTGTTTCCCTTAGCAATAGCAACCAGTTTTTATGATGTCACTGCCTTAATAGAAGAGTACTAAGAAGGTTATGGTGAAAAGAAAATTGTGTTCAGCAATACACTCATTTTCGGTAATGCCCACACTCGCTCTTCAAAGAAAATTCCTATTTATGCCATGATTAATATATAAATAAAGCCGTAACTATGTCTCCAGTTGTTGTGTTAGTATTAACCAGTACTTGGTTCATCAAATTTGCTTGTTTAAAATTGTGATATCACCAAGCACATTTATTATTTTTAGATTGACTTGTTTTGAAGAATCATTTTGAGTTTTTTCTACAGTCATGGTGTTGTTGCCCTCAGCAAACTGTTTCATTTGTTATAAATTTTTTTGATAATTTGCAGCTTTGGTTAAATAGAACTAACATTTAAAAAAAAATTCATGTATGTTTCAGAGTGTGAGAAACTTTCAAGAGGTCCATATATGATTGACCCATTTCCAGAAAACCAGGCTATTTATGATTATGGTGGAAATGTCACTTTTCAGTGTACAGGTTATTTTGGTTGCACAGAAAAAGAAGGTGTTTATATAGTATTGTGGGTAGTTGAAGGATCAAGCAAACCAATTACAAACATCAGTTCTAGATATTCTATCTCAAAAATGAAATGTGACAGGTACGTATAATTATAATGATAATTATTGTAAATGCCTCATTGATGATATTGATCCTGTCAATTGATGTTATGCCGCCTGTCAACCAAGCTGGCAGGGGTCTTACAGATAAGCCAATCAACGATCGTTATCAGTTTCACGCTAAGATGACTGCGTAGTCCACCATTTTCCTTAGGCAAAATGTTAATAGGACAATGGTGAAGAAGCAATATTATTGAAATTATGTTAATTTTCTGTCAATTTAAAGCTATTAAATCCAGAGCTCCAAATAGCATGCGTATCAGCGTGAAATACATATGGAAAATTCAAAATACGCATCACTTTCAGAATTCATGCATCACAGTTTAAAAATACACATCTATATCAAAACACATGCAAGAACAATAGTTGTGTTTATTATTTAATGCTTTTCAATGGATTATTGAAATATATCAGTAGATTAAATCCTGATAATCACACTGTTTCAAACAGTGAAATTATCATTTTGATAATTTCACTGCTACGGAACTACTTTTTTCCCCTTCAATGAACCCCATATACATGTACAAAAGTACAACTTGAGTTGTCTCCCTTCTATTTACTCTCTTTATTTACAAACAACAAATTACATGTACTTCCTCTTTATTCATTTACTTCCTGTCGTCTGCAAAAATGGAAGAACTTGCAAATTTGGATGCTTCTGCCCTAGATGATATTTTTAATAACTTCTATGATAAAGAAGAGTATGGAGATTTTCAGGTTGCAAACAGAAATTTTAGGGAAATTGATCCTGATGACTTCCTGTTAGAAAATGAAAATAAAAATACAAAAAGAAAAAACAGAAAGTGACATGAAATTGTTTATGTCATTTTTGATGGCAAAAAATGAAGCCAGGTTGCCAGAGTACATACCTCCAGATGAACTAAATCATCTTCTCTGTACATTTATTTTGGGCATAAACCAAAAAAGATGGTTCCGAATATGAACCGACAACAATCAGAGGATTTATTCAGCTCAATTGATCGTCATTTGAAATCAAAATCAAGCCATGTATCCATTTTTTAAAGATGTAGAATTCTCAAAAACAAGAGCTGTATTAACAAAAAAACAACAGCAACTCAAGAGTCTAGGATTTGGGCAACAAACCAAAAACTGCAGAAGTGTTGGATGATGCGACCCTGGATAAAATGTATGAAAATGGTACACTTGGTGATGGCAATCCAAGAGCGTTAATACATTCCATGTGGCTTATTTGTACAAGTTATTTTTGGCATGCGAACAGGCAAAGAATGCCATGACCTCTGCTGGGGAGACGTACAATTATGTATCGACGAGGTGACGGGGGAAGAATTTTTTAATGTATGACAAAGAGAGACAAACAAAAACAAGATCAGGTTGTAACCCTCGAGATACAAGGTATAAAACTATAATACAATTTTTCTTCTAAAATGATTAAAAAAAATATCATATTTCTTATTCAACATTTATTTCTAAAGTATTTTTAACTTTAATTTCAACAAGAAGACAGCAAGGATAGTTGTATCCAAACTGGGACTCGAACCCAGATCTTTTGCCGATGACAAATGTCCTTTCATTGGACCATTTGGATGTACTACCACTGCCTGTTGTTAAAATTTAAAGAAAAAACACTTATTTTACTTCACAATTTTAAGTTTAAAAAACAGTAATCATTTTTATTTATAATAACGAAACAATATGAATATGTACTTTATATTTATAAATTGACAATTTGCAGAAATTGTACTCAATTTGCAGAAATTATACTCTATCTCATGCAGTGTTTTTTTCTTCATATAACTACTACCCTAAAACGGTACAATTCCCAATAGAAAAAAGACATTATAATTCCCAATTTCCAATGTTTAAATTTCCAAAATGGCTTTTCAAAATTCCCACAAGGCCAAGTAATTTCTCTGAAATCATTTTAATCCAACATATTCATATAAATCACCACTTCATAGTTCTACCTGGACAGTGGAAGCTGTTAGCTATCTTTATTCATGATGATTAATCTCATTTGTAGCTGAAAAAATGGATTAAAAAATACTCCCAATATAAGTCAAAATAACACATTTTTTCCCAATCAGTCTGGTACCGGCACCATTCTCAAAGTAGAGAAAAAAAACACTGTCATGATACATTTAAATTTGTTAGCAATGGCCACCCGAGAGAATGTGACCTTTATGCACAAGTAGCCTTTTTTCAATCAAATAGAACCTTTGTAGCTCTATATATTGCCTATAATTATGTATTGGTTAGTGACCTTGACTTATAGTGTGGCCAGCCGCCTTAATTTGCAGGCCATTACTATCATAGGTTTGACTGTAATACTTATTTTGTAAAATCTAATAAACTAAGACCACAAAATAAAGTATTTTTGCTCATATATTTTTCAACAATTTTCATACCTTAGATGTACCGAGATAAAAGACCAGAGAGCATGTGTTCGGATGAAAGTCCTTTCTTTCTGACACCAGACGGAGGCACTCAGAAGAGCTGGTATAGAAAAGCACCGATTGGGATCAACAAACTATATAACATCATGAATGATATGAAATCAGACGCCAACATAACAAATTCAAGAATTACCCCATATAGGTAGAGAATGTTTAATTATATAAAAAAAATATCATCAACCACAATACTGAAATGTAATTTATGTAATATTTGTTTTTTTGGGGATGTTACTGTAAAACTGAAATGATTTCATTTCCCAAATTGATACATTAAATTAATAATTACCATATAAACATAGCTCAGTTGCAGTGAATTTGTAGTGAAATCTTTTGTTTTAAATTTTTAAAATTAAATTTTTCATTAAATTAATTTTTGCTATAAAAAATAAATAAAAAGAATGTACTGATTTGTCAATTAAAGGTGAGCCCCAATTTCACAACCACTCTCCAAAGCTGTACTTTAAGTTGAAATTTTTCATTTGAAATTATGTTGTATTTTCAATTGTCATAAATTTAACTAATATAAATAGACGAAATTGTCAATGCTATGTCATGGTTCCAATTTTAATGAAGATGTCATAAAAAAGTATGCAATGCATGCGTGTAAATGTATGGATTAAACTTATCCTGGATTAAATAATTGTGAAATTGGGGCCCGTTCGTGGAAGTTCTAGTTCAGGGGACATTGTGAATTACATATAAATCCGGACAATCATTTTCATTTTTAGCTCGACTATTCGAAGAATATGAGAGCTATTGTAGTCGCCCCGGCGTCGGCGTCAGCGTCCGCGTCGGCGTCTGCGTTGGTTAAAGTTTTTTGTAAAGTCAAATATTTCAATTATTACTTAAGATATTCAATTGAAACTTACAATACTTATTTATAGTAACAAGCTACATCAGATTGACAAGTTGGATAACTCTGCCTACAATATTGACAGAATTATGCCCCTTTTTAACTTAGAAATTTTGGTTAAAGTTTTTTGTAAAGTCAAATAGCTCAATTATTACTTGAGATATTCAATTGAAACTTACAATACTTATTTATAGTAACAAGCTACATCAGATTGACAAGTTGGATAACTCTGCCTACAATATTGACAGAATTATGCCCCTTTTTAACTTAGAAAGTTTGGTTAAAGTTTTTTGTAATGTCAAATATCTCAATTATTACTTGAGATATTCAATTGAAACTTACAATACTTATTTATAGTAACAAGCTACATCAGATTGACAAGTTGGATAACTCTGCCTACAATATTGACAGAATTATGCCCCTTTTTAACTTAGAAATTTTGGTTAAAGTTTTTTGTAAAGTCAAATATCTCAATTATTGCTTGAGATATTCAATTGAAATTTAAAATACTTTTTTATAGTAACAATGTACATCAGTTTGCAAAATTGCATAACTCTGCCTGCAATATTTGCAGAATTATTTACCCCTTTGAAACTTAGAAATTTTGGTTAAAGGTTAAAGGTCTTCAAATATATTTACTTGAAACTTTACACATGCACAGCACTTTGGGTCATAATTGGAGGGTCATAGTTGTATGTCACTGACCAAGTTCCATAACTCTATCTTGCATTAAGGCTGATTCATATCCCCTTTTCTACTTAGTCTCTTGGTTAATGTTTACATGCAAGTTTTACATATCTCAATAACTATTAAAGATATTTATTTAAAACTTCACATATGCATTTAGGGTCAAAATTGTAGCTCACTGACAAAGATCCATAATTCTATCTTGCATTTAGGCTGATTTTTCTCCCCTTTTTCAACTTAGAAATTCATGGTAAAGTTTTGCTTGTAAGCTGTTATCTCAATAACTACTGAAGGGTTTGTGCCTTTTTTGGGACAATTTTATGCAGTCATAATAATAAAGCAGTTATTTACTTGATAAAACATCTTAATAACAAGCCTTTGTACCTTTTCTGTCAAATTTATGTATTCATAGGTAATTAGTATTATTATACTCAATAAAACACCCTCGTGACATTACCTTCCGAATAGTCAAGCCAATACTGTATAATTAGACTCTCTCTAAGGCTTATAACATGAATTTATAAAAAAAAATTAGCCCTTTGTGAACTTAAAAAATTTAACATTATCAAGGCTCTTTTACTATCAAGCACTTAGAATAGTCGAGCGTGCTGTCCTACCGACAGCTCTTGTTTAGTTAGTCCAACAACCAATATTCAGGTCTAGGAAACCCTTAAATTCACAAATTATTTGTATATTTACAAATCATTTGTAAATTTAAAGATTTTTCAATTTACAAATTTAGCATGCAATTTTTCTTAACAAAACCTAAACAGGTAAAGGGCGAAGGGGCTTAACTAGTAGACATCTTGACACACTTTTGCAAAGTTTCAATAAATTTTAATAATTTTGATATAAATTATAGTTTGCTGCTAATCTCGTGTTAAATCTAATTCCGCAGTATCATACGTCATTATTTTCGAAAACAAAATTCTGCAATGACACTTACCATGAATGTAAAAGTGTGCTAATTTTAACACCTATTTATTTTCATTCAAATTTCTCTAAAATCAAGTGCAGCAAAAATTGTTAGTAAACAGGTTTTTGATTATAAAATGAGTCATAATTTAAGAAATAAAACATGGCCTTGAGGGCAATATGCAAGTTTACGGACTGGTTGGTCAGACGGAGGAAGATATATGGCCCGAAGCGCAGCTGAGGGACATATATACCTTCCAAGTCTGACCAACCAGTCCGTAAACTTGCATTTTGCCCTCAATGCCATGTTTTATTTGATATATTATACCGATTCTAAATGCTTTCATCCCTTTTGTTGCTGTCATTTTTATTATAATTTGCTTTCGAATAATAATTTATTTGTTCAGTGTGTGAAATATCTCAAACACTTGTCAGATTTTTTTGTTATTATTTTCAAGCGATACAGCAAAAATTAAATCATGCTCTTCTTTTGTTATTCAATTTTTGTTAATCAAATTAAAGGTGGCAAAAAAAACCTAACTTTAAGATTTTCACAAACTGTATAAATAAAATTTATAATCAATTTAAAGACAAATCATGACTTTTGATCAACATGTAATAAATTTATGTGAAACAAAACAATAAATTCAGTAGAAAGAATCATTTAACAACAAAATAAAATATTATACCTCATTTGCATGTATACGCCCTTCTATATTGAATATGACGTCATCCAGTCCTTATAAGAATTATGGACCGGCCCCGGTCTCTATGCGGTTTATGGACTGGATGACGTCATATTAAATTTAGAAGGGCGTATGCAAAATCAATGAGGTATAATATTATTTTATATACATGTACCACGGAAATACACACATTATACTTTGATTTTTTTTAAAAGCGTAGTCAACATTTTTAACCGAAACCTTCTGTAACAGTGCAAGCTTGTAAATTTACAATTAAGGGGTTTCCTAGACATTATATTTATATTGAAAAAGTAAAAAAAAAAAACAGTTAAAAAATATATACAAGCTCATAAGGGTTCACTAAACTAGAACTTATTCATGTGACCATGTAGTATGTTAGTTTTCAAAGTGTGATTTTCTAAATTTGTTTTGTTAAATTACAGTTCAAGGAAGAGACTGATACAAAAACTCCAAGACGAGGGAGTTCCAGCAAACCAAATAGTACAGATATCTGGGCACAAGAATATCAACTCAATTAACAACTACAGCAAAATTAACAATGATCAATCAAAGAACATTTCTGACATATTATCAAATAAAATCAGTAACACTCACTCAGATCTCCAAGTTCGAAGTTCAACTCCAAAGTTTGCATCCATGACCATGTCAGATTGTGTTCGTGCAGGCGACAATAATGGAAAGCCTCCACAGGGTTTATTTGCATACAGTCATTTCAACGGCAATGTAACTTTTAATTTCAACAGCTCAATTTCTGAAAGCCTATCCCAAATGTCAGCCGTAACACCAGCTCCGCCTCTGGATCTGCAGTCGTTGATCCATGTTCGCCGATAATTAGGCCATACAAACGTATCAGGATGCTACCTGACAGTGACACTGATTCTAATTAATATGAATTAGGCAAATAATATACCTGTTATGTTGTTCATTCACTAGTTTGATTTAAATCCTTGTTTTGTTTATAATTCCCACAGACGTTACGAATATAAAAAAAATGGCGGATTGAACTGAACTGACTTCGATTCACGCGCAGTAATTCAATAGCTTTATCAGCCTAAAACTGTTGTTTACTCTGAATAAATTTACAAAACGATTTCTTTTTTCTGTTTGACATAAATAATAAATGAATAAAACCCTGTCTAGTGAATTATATATTAAAAATGAAAGTTTATCTGGAACTATTTTTATTACGAAATATACATGTGTTACCACGTGAAAAAGAAGGAAAAAGTGGGGCTCCAGACGGGGAACACTCGGATAGGTAAAACATTAAAAATGAGAAATAATTCAATTAATCCATTGAAAAGCATGAAATAAAATGAAAATTTGTTTGCTTTTGGTGTAAGATCGAAATTTATTTCATCTCGTGATGGCAAGGATTAAATATTTTCACTCGTGGCTGCGCCACTCGTGAAAATATTTATCCTTGCCATCACTCCAGATTTTTCCCACCTTTTTGAATGGATATTGATCACCCGAAAGAAATTGATATTACCGAGCCAGACGGGTAATATACACACTAAATTTCCCCGTTTGGAACCCCACGTTCTAAACAACGCTGTGGCGATGTGCGTACGGTTTGATTTTACGCGATGTAAATTCCGATTATAAAACACTTTTTAACTGTCAAATGATAAATATTTACCAAAATAGAGTATTCATACATATTCTCATCAGTATTGAAAACAAATATGACCTTGATAAAAGAACATTCAACAGTATACTCCTTTTCTCTTGTTTACATGCGTAAGGTTCGAAAGAAAAAACGTCATGTATTTATGTGACGTCATGTAGTGATGAAGGGGTACCCTAAAGGGAATCTTATTTCGACATTTCATTTGCAGTAGCAATGATTTATTTTATAAACGTCTTAACTCTGCAGGGGAAGGGCAATAAAATTATTATTTTGGTTTTGAATAATATATGTGGATATATTACCTGCCAAGATAAAATATCACCCGAGCCGTTATAAAATCTTGACAGGTAATATATCCACATATATCACTCCAAAACCTAAATAACATATATTATTACCCTTCCAGATTTTTTCCGCCTTTTTGATTGGATATTGATCACCAGAAAAAAATTGATATTATCGAGCCAGACGGGTAATATACACACTAAATTTCCCCGTTGGGTACCCCACGTTGTAAACAACATGCGCTGAGGTGATGCGCGTACGGTTCGATTTTACGCGCTGTAAATTCAGATTTACAAACACTTTTTAACTGTCAAATGATAAATATTTACCAAAGTAGAGTAATGATACATATTCTCATCAGTCTTGAAAACAAATATGACCTTGTGAAAGCTTGATATTAATTACAAAAAAGTGCGTTCCATAGACTACTCCTTTTCTCTTGTTTACATTCGTTAGGTACGGGAAAAATACGTCATGTATATATGTGACGTCATGTTGTGATGAAGGGGTACCCTAAAGGGGATCTTATTTCGACGTTTCATTTGAAACAGCAATGATTCTAAACTCGGCAGGGGAAGGGTAATAAAATTATTATTTTGGTTTTGGAGTGATATATGTGGATATATTACCTGCCAAGATAAAATATTACCCTCGCCTAACGGCTCGGGTGATATAAAATCTTAGCAGGTAATATATCCACATATATATCACTCCAAAACCAAAATAACATATGATATGTTTGATATTTATGAAAGAGATGTTTTGATGTCATAAAATATATAATATATTTCTGTTTTATTGGATTGAAAACTGAAAATACTGTTGTATACAAGGCTGTGTCTTCAAAACGAAAGACTTTAGTAGCAGGAAGTAACATACTGGTATGTACAGAAGGGAGGTAACTCACGAAAGGTCCTAAAATGATTGTTAAAATTTATGCGGCAGATAATCACCTAATATTCAATAAGTTTAGCATTGTCATGCTCCTGCTAAAAATAAACAAAAACATTTTAATGTCTGTCACTTTTCTTGTTGTAAATCATTTAGATTTACCCTTGTCCGTCCGTCCTTCTGTCCGTCCTTCCGTCTGTCCGTTCTCTTTTGTGTCGCATGTAACTCAAAAAGTATTTGACCTAGAGTCATGAAACTTTACAGGAATGTTGATCAGCATGTGTAAGTGTGCACCTGGGTATTTTCGTCTGGATATTTTTAGTATTTTTAGAGTTATTGCCCTTGACTTAGTAAAATTTTGCAATTTTCAACTTGTGTCGCATGTAACTCAAAAAGTATTTGACCTACAGTCATGAAACTTTACAAGAATGTTGATCAGCATGTGTTGTTGTGCACCTGGGTATTTTCGTCTGGATTTATTTAGTATTTTTAGAGTTATTGCCCTTGACTTAGTAAAATTTTGCAATTTTTAACTTGTGTCGCATGTAACTCAAAAAGTGTTTGACCTAGAGTCATGAAACAAACTTTACAGGAATATTGATCAGCATGTGTAGTTGTGCACCTGGGTATTTTTATCTGGATTTATTTAGTATTTTTAGAGTTATTGCCCTTGACTTAGAACATTTTTGAAATTTTCAACTTATGTCGCATGTAACTCAAAAAGGATTTGCTATGGAGTCATTAAACCTTACGGGAAGGTTGCTCAGCATATTTAGTTTTGCACCAGGGGTTTCGCTTGTGGATTTATCCAGTATTTGTAGAGTTATTTCCCTTGACTTAGTAAATACCGTTTCATTATGTTGTTATTTGTTCCTTGAGTGCTTGAGTTAGAATCAACCATCTTTCAGGAATAATGACCAGCATCACAAAATTACAGGAATAATGATTCACATCACTGTGAAGCTATGCACCTGGGACTTTGCATGTTGATTTTTTTTCAGTTTTGTTAGAGTTATTGCCCTTGACTTACAGTAGTATAAATTTGCAATTTTCAACTTGTTCATGCATAGCTCAAAAAGTATTTCACTTGTAGGCCTGAAAGTTTACAAGAATGTTGGTCAGCATGTGTACTTACAATGTATGCACCTTGGGGTTTGCTTGTGGATTTATTCAGTATTTGTAAAGTTCTTGCCCTTTACTTAGTAAAAGATTTTTAGTTTTCAAAAACTATTTGACCTAGAGTCATAAGATTGACAGAACAGAGGCGCGATGGGAAAAAGGGAAATAACTCTACAAATACTGGGGGCACCTGTGTCCTATGGACACATTTCTAGTTCTACTGTATGTGTTTTCCGTGCTCTGCCTTGTGCCCTGTGGGGGCTCCTTGCCACTGGTTCTTGTTGCTGGGTCATGTGGGGGTTGCGTTCATTGAACGCCACCTTTCCTTGTTGATCTTGTTTATCATATTTTATTGTAGATAGTGTATCTTATTAGTAAAATTTAATTTAAACAAACAATTTTTTTACAAATACATTTATCAATATACATGTGTATATAAATTATATTTCTATTCAATATGTAACTTTTAAATACTAATGTAAAGGTGTAGTTCATAATCTTAACCAATTATACATGCAAATTTAATACTGTCTTGTTTATATAACTGATGTGAGTTATGTTTAATATATGTTTAATATAAATAAAAAATATAATTAAACCCCAAGTATGGTACTTTCCTGCTTTTCAACAAAATATTGGCAAAATATGTTCATATGTACGAATTCTGTAGAAATTGTTCACAGTGACTCCCTGTCTTTAATGACCTTTTATCTTTTCTCCCATCGAAGGTCACTGTTAACAGTTTTAGCTCGACTATACAAAGTATATGGAGAGCTGTCCTACTCGCTCGGGCGTCTGCGTCCGCATCCAGATTTCAGATTGAAGTTTTGTGCAGTAAAATATTTTTCACTTTGTCATTTCTTAAGGTATCAACTTCATACTTCAAATATATGTTCCTTATCATCAACCACATCTTATGTGACAAGGTTCATAACTCTAGCACCAATATTTTCAGATTTATTTCACCTTGAACTTAGAATTTTCCTCAAAAAAAATACTATTTTTTACTGTTTCTTCTTTATTTCTTAAGGGGTCAACCTCATACTTCAAATATATGTACCTTATCATCATCTACATCTTATGTGACAAGGTTCATAACTCTAGCACCAATATTTTCAGATTTATCTCCCCTTGAACTTAGAATTTTCCTCAAAAAATACCCTTTTTAGCTCACCTTGCACATAGTGCAGGTGAGCTTTTAGGATGGCCAATCAAATGCGTCTGTCGTCCGGCGTCCGTCCACATTTTATTCAAACAACATCTTCTATAATACTACTTGGCCAATATTAATGATACTTGGCAGGAATACTCTTTGTATGAAGGTCTATCAAGATTGTTCAAAGAATGCCATTCCATGCTAAACTCTGGTTGCTATGGCAACTAAAAGAAAAAAACTTAAAAGTGCTTATACTTCAAAATGGAAAGGGATAGAGCTTAGATATTTCTCACAAGGCATTAGCTTGTTGGTTTCTACAAAGTGTATTCAAATTATGGTCTAGAGTTGAAAATTGGTCTCTGTTTTGGGGCTTAAAGGGTTTTTTTATTGCAAGGTTATATTGACTTATTTTGTAGGGATAAATTGAGATAGTGTATCTTGTATTTTTTGTCTCAACAGACATTGTTATGAAGATTTTCTGTTAAAGCATTAGAAAGATGAAAAGGTTGTTGAATGTGAATGTTAATTCAAAACAGAGTCAATCAGAATAGCACAAATTTGAGAGCTACAGTGAAGTTGATTTCCCCATTCAATAATGGATTCTTCTATTAATTTCGTAACACCATCAGAAAGGAGATTGTGTCATTTCCGAAATACAATGTAAAATATTTCGGTTCTTGACATTGACTTGCACATTTTATTGTGTAAGATATTGCACAAAGAAACGAAAGTGAACAAAAAATTTGTATTTTTCTCACAAAAATTAGCTGATTAAGATAAAAGTTTAATTTACTGTACGGATATTACTTTTACAGTACATGTACATCCTTCCGGTTTGCGGGAAAAATCATATATTTCAACATTGTATACACCGGTCTTACTGATAAACGAATTATGTCATAATATTTCATTCTGAGAACAAACATACAATTCAAATCATTAAATAATGCATATCAATCAGTATATTCAACAACTTTGCCTCAGAAAACATCTGTATCAATCTGACCTCGAGTTGAGATTATAAACAGAACTAAACAGGAAGTATGACAAAATGGGCGCCATGATGTAAAAAAAATTGAGAAATTTCGTAACATAAACTCGTATTTCATAACAAAGAAGTGAAGATGAATACAATTATCGGTGTGCTTCTTTGAAACAGGTATTTTGTTAAAGTTATATTTCCGTTCAACGATGACATTTTACCTTACATCTTAATTTTAATAAATTTTCACCTCAATTATAAGTATATCTGCATTAATGATGAATTGCTATACAATTTCAATCTTATTTTGCCGAAACACTCGGATGCAACTGGATATAATATCGCCAATATTTGAAATCCCCGCCATTTGCAATAGCTCTCGAGGCCGATCGGTTTCATTCGGAATTAACAAATTTGCATACGGAAAAGTTCGGAAATGCTATAATTAGAAACAAGTTTGGAAATCCTATAATTAGAAACGTCAACAAACTTGCGACACTTCAATACTCATACGATTTTATGAGATGTAATATGAATGACCAATGAAATTTCATGTTTGTAATAAATAAACGATATGAAAAGCTGTTTATTAGCTAAGAAATGTAGCCTATATCCTCCCATTTATGACTAATAACGCTTGTTTGAAAGTTTGTTAAGAAACAATTTAAAGTCTTGAGACTCTCGCTAGATCTGATTATAAAACATTCTAATAAAATTACCAATGTTTTATGTCGTACGGGGGTAGCTGTATCTTAATTTTTGTATCGAAATAATATGGCATAGTGCGTGTTATGTATATATTATGAATATAAATTGATAATTAACAGATCAAGCATATGATATCTGATATAAGAAAAGAAAGATAATTTGGCAATCTGATGTAATAAACTTTAGGGTGTCATCAGATTAAATAACCAGACAGACAACTGCATACACAAGCCAATACAGACTCCATAGAATGCTATATATGATAATGTATATACATGTACTTTAATTTAATAAGCAAGTAAGACTGGGAAAAGGACCATATCATAGTTCAGAATCTGAACTTCAGATGCCTAAAATTTTGAAAATGATCACTCAAGACCTGATTTTTGTAACAGCCTTTTGTAAAAGTACACATTATGGAGAATAATGTACTAATGAGAATTTCAATCCAATACAAACACAGTGCAGCCTCTGATAAATATTAATTTCTTTACAATGAACAGTTACATTCCACTGAACTGAAAATAAGATTGCCAAGAATTAAATCCCAATCTTTGGGTAGTCATATATATGGCACAAAACCACAACAGCATACAAAATTTTTTCCTAGTATGTAAGAATTATGACATCTTAGCCAAGAGTGAATTGTTTTATATTTATTTAATCAGAAAATTGTTTTTCTTCATCAGGTTTACTTTAATATGATAAATAAAATTTTGTGTTTTCACAAGTTAACTTGTATTAACTATCCCCTAAAATATTGCAAAAATCTACTCCCATTTGAAATTTCCTTCTTGCATTGCTATTCAGTGCAAAGCTTGGCCTTTAAACTTATCCAGAGTATCCAGTCTTAACTTAAATATTAGATCAGTGACACCCTGCTGTAGCTTTTTACCATATCTATAAAGCAAACAAAATAATTTAAATGCAGATGATTCTAAATTCCAAATTTCACCACTTTATGTTCAAATGTTAAATTCCGCTTAAGCAAGTGCTTAGGAGGGGGGCATGGAAGGTAAGTTGCACTTTCCAGTATCGTCCATGAACAGGGTCACCAAATCAAGCCTGCTACATTTTCAATTTTGTCCTTTTGGGCTTTTTCAGGAATTCTTCATTTCTCTATTTTCGATGTCAAATGTACCTTTTTAAAATTCAGAATAAGACCACAGATTGTAACACTGTTTTGCAAATACTTTTTATATGCCCGAAAGGGCATATTATGTTATACCCCCTGGCGTCCGTCTGTCTGTCTGTCCGTCCGTCCGTACGTACGTACGTCCGTCCGTCCGTCCGTCCGTTAGCAATTTGGTTTCCGGAGCATAACTTAAGTTCCATTTGGCCACAATGTTCAAACTTCATAGAATGATTGTCCATATTGGGTAGAAGACCCCTATTGATTTTGGGGTCAAAAGGTCAAAGGTCAAGGTCACTATGACCTTAAAACTGAAAACAGTTTCCGGAGCATAACTTAAGTTCCATTCGACCAACAATGATCAAACTTCATAGGATGATTGTCCATATAAGGTAGAAGACCCCTATTGATTTTGGGTCACAAGGTCAAAGGTCAAGGTCGTTATTACCTTGATACTTAAAACAGTTTCCGGAGCATAACTTAAGTTCCAATGGACCCACAATGTTCAAACTTCATAGGATGATTGTCCATAGTGGGTAAAAGACCCCTTTTGATTTTTGGGTCAAAAGGTCAAAGGTCAAGGTCACTATGACCTTAAAACTGAAAACAGTTTCCGGAGCATAACTTAAGTTCCATTCGACCCACAATGTTCAAACTTCATAGGATGATTGTCCATATTGGGCAAAAGACCCCTATTGATTTTGGGGTCACAAGGTCAAAGGTCAAGGTCACTATTACCTTGATACTGAAAACAGTTTCGGGAGCATAACTTAAGTTCGAATTGACCCACAGTGATCAAACTTCATAGGATGATTGTCCATATTGGGAAGAAGACCCATATTGATTTTGGGGTCACAAGGTCAAAGGTCAAGGTCACTATTACATTGATACTGGAAACAGTTTCCAGAGCATAACTTAAGTTCCATTTGGCCCACAGTGTTCAAACTTCATAGGATGATTGTCCATATTAGGTAGAAGACCCCTATTGATTTTGGGGTCAAAAGGTCAAGGGTCAAGGTCACTATATCCTATAAACTGAAACAGTTTCTGGAGCATAACTTAAGTTCCATTTGGCCCACAATATTCAAACTTCATAGGATGATTGTCCATATTGGGTAGAAGACCCCTATTGATTTTGGGGTCACTAGGTCAAAGGTCAAGGTCACAATTACCTTAAAACCCAAAAACAGTTTCCGGGGCATAACGTAAGTTCCATTTGGCCCACAATATTCAAACTTCGTAGGATGATTTTGTCCATATTGGGTAGAAGACCCCTATTGATTTTGGGTCACAAGGTCAAGGTCAATGTCACTTTTACCTTAATACTGAAAACAGTTTCTAGAGCATAATTAAAGTTCCAATTGGCCAACAATATTCAAACTTCTTAGGATGATTGTCCATATAAGGTAGAAGACCCCTATTGATTTTGGGGTCAAAAGGTCAAAGGTTAAGGTCATTATTAATAACTTGAGTATTAATCAACCTACAGCTGTAAAATTTTATAGGATGAACAGCTAATTCCCATGTCTTATAAATGCTTCATCCTTATTAAAAAAAAAACACTTTCGGGCATATAATGCTCCGCCTAGCGGTGCTCTTGTTAATCTTAATTTACACTCCACTTTTCTTGGCATGTTTCAGGACACATTTTGGAATGTTGTTAAAAATAACAAAAACACAGATAAATTGAAACATGTATTTAAACATCGGCAGTACACAATAAAAATATTTTTAAATGAACAGCAGATCTTATTTTTTCTTACTCTCAAAATTGTGCACCAGTGACTTCTTTACAGTCATAGTTAAATCCATGTTGTCTTGTGTTGTCTTGAAGATGGCCAATAATGTAGGAGAAAATAAATGATATTTTAATTCCAACCAAACTGTATTAACTTGTGCTTACCCCTAATCAGTTTCTGATGTATGAAAAGCCATTGTGACTTTTGACCTAACAACCTCCAAGCTAATGCTCAATTACTACTCTAAGCAATGTCCCAGCAACTGTTCAAAAACTTGGGACAATGAGTTTACATGTCACTAAGGCATTGAACTTATAATCAAATGGACTCATCTAAAAACTAATGACAATTAGCATTTTTCCTTCTAAGTTACATAAACCACTGTTTGGTCACAAGTGTTGTTTAGTCCACTTATGAATCAAATATGTACATAGATAACAAAATGACCACTTTACAAAATTTCAATAATTTGACGTTGACCTTTTTTAAGACAATATTAGCAGTAATAAGTGAAAATAAAATAATTTGACCTTCAATATCAAGGTCATACATATGTCAAGGTGAATTTGAATTTGATATATATGAAAGTCGTTGAGTTTGGAAATGAAGTTACTCCATTTATAGGTAACAAAGTTATAGCCAGTTACTGAAAAAAAACAACAAGAGAATTTCATTAATTTGACCTTAACATTCAATAGCAAGTTAAGGTTAAGGTCACATCTAAATTATTCAATATGTTTGTTGGTGGCAAGTTTAAATCAAATCAATATATAAATAACAACATTATGACAATTTAACAAAAATTCAATATTTGACCTCGCAAGTCAATGTCATATAAGTTCAAGGTAAAGATCAGTTCAACCTTCCTGAAAGCCTAATCCAAAATGTTATTTTGTCAAAGTATGAAGATAATCCATTTATCAATTACCAAGTTATAGTCATTTATAGCAAAAAAAAAGCAGTGAAAATTCAATAATTTAACCTTCAATGTCAAGGTCATAAAAGAGTCAAGGTCAATTGAGTTAGGTAAACATGAAGGATGTTCTGTTATAAAATAGAGTCATTCAATTATAACAAAGTTATTACCTATTACAGCACAAGAATGAATATTTCAATAATTAGACCTTCAAGGCCAAGGTCATTTATGAGTGAAAGTCAAGGCCTGTCTGGTTAATTTAAAGGTCTATCCTAAAAGAGTATTATGCTCAAGTTTAAAGGCAATCTATTCAAAAATAAAGTTAGAGCCACTAATAGCAATGACAAGCAAATCCAAAATTTAGACATTTAACCTTGAAGGTCAATGTCATTAATGAATGAAGGCCAAAGTTAGTCATGTCTTCTTAAAGGTCTTGTTGCAAGGGTTGTGGTGACCAAGTGTGTAGACAAAACAGTAAGAACTTATGAACAAGGTTTAAGTTAGCAAATGGCAATGCTTAAGTGACTGTAACTTCTATTTCTTTAAAAAAAATAAAAGAAAGAAAAGTTGAGCTAAAAATGAATGACATGCATGTATATCAAAAGGTATAATTGAATAATACTTTTAACTTTGTTTACCACATTAAAGCTCATGACAGCACTTATAGTTTGATAGATTGGATAATATTTTGCACATATATTAAAAGTAGTGTCATTTTTTTCTGACAAAATGTTACAAACCTTGAGTCATGACAAATGAATCAAGATAATTTTGAAACAAGATAGATACAGCTCTATATCTAAAAAAATCTTTCATAAAATTATCATGAATACCAAGTATTCAATGTAAGCTTAAATATGTTTGAATAATATGGCAAACAGTGTAACAGATTATTTATCATTCTTGTCCATTAAAAGTCAATCAAATCTTGATTTATGTTCCTCATGAATGGCTCAGGTAGGCTATGGGCTAACTTTGGCTAAATGTTTTGAAAGTCTGTGGGGGTCATCTTCTTCTAACTTTCTTTTTTATATATCCCCTTTTTGTCATTAATTCTCATGGTTATAGTATCATGTAAAATGGTATCCATATAATGATACTTTTTCTTCTTCTTTAATTCATAGACAGACCATCTACAACTGTTTTGTTCCAGATTCGCTGAAGTCTAAAATGAGAAATTCACAAGCCTATTATAACAAAAGTCATTAGTGTATACAATTCTCAAAATGCAGTACATGTAATTAGGTCTTCTGTTGAAATCCAAAATTTGTAAGTCAAGTTATTCAGAGACTGCAAAATCTCTTTTGGTTGAAAATAACATTATATAGGCAAGGAAAAGCACCATATTTTGGAAGACCAAGGCAAAATTAAGGATTATGTGACTCCAAGACTTCCACTTTCAAAAGCCATAGTTGATAAACTGCAGGATGTAAGAACTGACTTGATTAGATTATATTTTTAAAAGACCATGAAAATATGCATGTATTCACTACTACTCATCTGCATAGTGATCACACTTTTCATAAGATATCATTTTATTCATAGAGACAGGACTATTTAATAGTAAGATATGCAGCATTTATATTTATATGCAAAAATGAAGGAAATGTTGAGAATCTATAGGCACAAGGAAGATAAAGCACAACTTCATTAACAGATTTTGATCATTTTTGCCTCTTTATATGTTTTTATGAATAAAACATGAGGGCCATTATGGCCCTAGATTGCTCCCCTTACCCATTAACCGCATCCAAGCAATGTCTTAGACAAGCATCCTGGCCAAGTTTGATGACAATTGAGTCAAAAATGAGACCTCTAGTGTGTTAAAAAGGTTTTTCCATATTTGGGCAGTGAGACCTAGTTTTTGACCGTAGACAATCCATATTCGAACTTGACCTAGAAGTCACCAAAACAACCTTCCTGACAAATTTCCAGAATATTTGGATCAATACTGCAGCAACTAGAGTGTTAACAAGATTTTTCTATTATTAGCTCCTGTGACCTAGTTTTTGACCCAAGATGGCCCATCTGTATTTTATTTAGACAAACATTCTGACAAATTTTGATGATGATCCAATCAAAACTGTGACTGCTAGACTGTTAACAACCCAATTGTTGATGATGCAAGGCAACGGAAGCCGGACATGGCCCCATCACTATACCTCACCTTGACCACTTTGTGGTCAGGTAAGCTAAAAGGAACTGAATTATTTTCATTGAAATAAGCAAAGAATTATGTTAGGTCCAAATCAGACTGTGTACAACTATGTTGAACATATTATAATTCAAATCAATTCACTTTATTACCACAAACTGTGGCACCTTTTTTCATTTTGAAAAATTGTGAAACGTTAGATGTTGGAGTTTACCTTACAGATCCCTCCTTGTTGGTGATGTGTGATCTATTTGCATGACTGTATACTATGATAAGAAGATTGCCCATTCTTTATACAGGTGGTGTGTATGCAAATCTTTTGGCACAATACATCAAAATGTGCTGGTGAAACCCCTCCATGCCAGCTGTGCTTCTAAAAATGAGTGCAAATAATGAAAATGATATTATCATCAAAGCTTTTTAGTAAGATAAATCCTTTAAACATTAACATATATAATTAAATTACAAATGTAGGTCCATTTGTGTCTCGATATAAAGATGCTGTCAACATTTAACATTCTATAAGTAATAGACATTATGAACTTTGTATTAATCAGGACATATTATAACTCCTTTTTATTTAGGAAAATAAATCCATATAAAAATTTCACTTCAAACTGCAAGCATATCTTAACAAAGACATGCATATCTCCCTTGCAGAATAAATGGCTCCAACTTTGGAGCCATTGGCTCCAACATTTTCTGATTGGCTAATCTGGTGGTGCAAACTAAAACTGATCCAGATAGAACCCTATAGACAATATTAATATTAATTTATTTCATTGTACCGGGTGAGAACATACCTCAAGTTGAGATAGTATAATTATCATCTTATTCAGAAAACTTTTATCCATCAAAACACCAGCCAGATCTTTCAGGCCATGTGCATGTTGTTTCCTTGCAGCCATGGTTTGTTATCCCCCGCCGCCTTTTATAGAAATAGTCTCCGTCCGTCCGACCTTCCGTCCGACATTTTTGTCCGGAGCATATCTCTAAAAGTATTTGAGTTATCAACTTGAAACTTCATAGGTGGATAGATCTCATTGAGGAGGAGTGCAGTGCACAAGAATGATAACTCTACCCTGCATAATTTTTGAGTTATTGCCCTTTGTTATTTTTCAAAATTGATTTTTGTCCAGAGCATAACTCCAAAAGCCTATGAGATATCAACATGAAACTTCATAGGTGCATATATCTCACTCAGGAGGTGTGCAGTGCACAAGAATGATAACTCTACCTTTCATAATTTTTGAGTTATTGCCCTTTGTTATTTTTCATACTTAATTTTTCATCTGAGTGGAGCAAAACTCAAAAAGTTTTTGAGATATCAACATGAAATGTCATAGTTGGATAGATTTTATTGAGGAGGAATGTTGTGCGCAAGAATGATAACTCTTCCCTATACAATTTTTGAGTTATTGCCCTTTGTTCTTTTTCATGCTATTTTGTCCAGAGGATATCTCAAAAAGTATTTGAGGTATCAACTTGAAACTTCATAGGTGGATGGATCTCATTGAGGAGGAGTGCATTGCACAAGAATGATAACTCTACCTTTTATAATTTTTGAGTTATTGCCCTTTGTTATTTTTCAAAATTAATTTTTGTCCAGAGCATAACTAAAAAAGCCTTTAAGATATCATTATGAAACTTCATAGGTGCATAGATCTCACTCAGGAGATGTGCAGTGCACAAGAATGATAACTCTACCTTTTATAAGTTTTGAGTTATTGCCCTTTGTTATTTTTCATACTTAATTTTTCAATTCAATTTTTTTCTCAAAAAGTATTTGAGGTATCAACTTGAAACTTCATAGGTGGATAGATTTTACTGAGGAGGGATGCAGCACACAAGAATGATAACCTACCCTGCATTATTTTTCAGTTATTGCCCTTTGTTATTTTCAACCATCAGTATTCACATAGGTTTCAAATCTGTAATCACTATAGCCATCAGTTTTCATTACCAAAAGACCTCTTAAAATGGAATTATTCTGCTCTACTACATATACATTCTTCCAATGAGCAAACACATTCGGCGGGGGATGGCCATGTTGACATGGCTCTTGTTCTGATTTCTAATGGACCATGATTGTACTAGGCATTGGTGTACTCCACAATCTGAAAACAGAATGTGACAGAATCCATTCATGCTAATTAACTATATGATTTAGACACTAAAAGATATTATACCCTGTAATAAAATATCAAGACAAATAAGCATGCATTAAACAATGACAACAAGTTTTATGAAACATTACTAGGCATTTCACAATTATTTTACAAATAAAATGCTTACCATAAACCTATGAAGTATTCCACATTATGCAACAAAACATCTTGCATGCATTAATTTTCTTGCAACAAATGACAATTATGTATTGCTATCTAGAATTTTATTTAAATATTTCTTGAGCAACAGAAAAATCATATAAAAATATCAAAAATTCAAACAAAATCAAATATAAAATAAATGTTTACTTACCATGAATTGTTTCTAGTTTGTGGCAGTTTTACAACTAAACCAGAAATGAATTGCTATGTCACAATTCCACTTCAAAAGGATTTTATGGGCTTTCTTTAGTGCTACCTGAAGATTAAACCATATCTTGCTTAAGAAAATAACAATCATGCAATTCCTTTTCATTTTAGCGAAAAATATTCTACTTAAGAATTGTATATAATATTATATTCAGACTACACCAATATAAAAGAAAATGTTTTACTATGTATGACATAAATCAGTCCTTGTTATTTACAATAAGTAAAGTTAACACTAGTCTGTTAAAAAATCTTAGTTTACAATTTTTAGCTCGACTTTTTTATTTTTGAAAAAAAAAGTAGAGGTATTGTTATAGTCGGGTTGGCGTTGCCGTTGCCGTTCCCGTCCGCAAACTTGTACCTGGATCATAACTTTTTTATTTCTTGGTGTATTGTCTTCATACTTGGCCACAACAACCCTTGGGACAAGACCTTTCAGTAGACCACACTAACCTTGACCTTCATCCATAAATGACCTTGACCTTCAAGGTTAAAAGTCCAATTTTTGCTTGTTCATGCTGTTATTGGCTGTTATACTTTGTTATTTTTGAATGGATTGTTGTCAAACTTGAACATAATAATCTTCAAGGATATCCCTTAAAAATAACCAGCCAGACCTTGACCTTCACTCATAAATGACCTTGACTTTGAAGGTCAAATTATTGAAATTTTCATTTTTTTGGCTATTATTGGCTGTAACTTTGTTATTTTTGAATGGATTGTCTTCAAACTTAAACATAATTATCTTCAGGGATATCCCTTAAAAATAACTAGACAGACCTTGACCTTCACTCATAAATGACCTTGACTTTGATGGTCAAATTATTGAAATATTCATTTTTTTGGCTATTATTGGCTGTAACTTTGTTATTTTTGAATGGATTGTCTTGAAACTTGAACATAATAATCTTCAAAGATAACTGTTAAAAATATACCGAAAGACCTTGACCTTCACTCATTAATGACATTGTCTTTGAAGGTCAAATTATTGAAATTTTCATTGTTTTGGCGGTAACTGACTGTAACTTTGCTATTACTGAAGGGATCAACTTCATATTATAACAGAACATTCTTAAGGACCAGACCTTGTTGTTTATCAAACCCAAATTTGCTCGGGCTCTTTAATGACCTTGACCTTGTAGGTTAAATTACTGAATTTTCTCAGATTTGTGCATTAAATGACCATAATTATATATTTATTGGTGTGTGTGTGTGTATATATATATATATATATATATCTATCATCATCATCATCATCATCATCATCATCATCATCATCATCATCATCATCAACAACAACAACAACAACAACGTGTTTCTATTTATAGAATTGCTTAATGTTTCTATTTATAGAATTGCGTAATGTTTCTATTTATAGAATTTTGAGTAATGTTTCTATTTGTAGAATTGCGTAATGTTTCTATTGATAGAATTGCATAATGTTTCTATTTATAGAATTGCGTAATGTTTCTATTTATAGGGTTTCTATTTATAGAATTGCGTAATGTTTCTATTTATAGAAATTGCGTAATGTTTCTATTTTTAGAAATTGCGTAATGTTTCTATTTTTAGAAATTGCGTAATGTTTCTATTTTTAGAAATTGCGTAATGTTTCTATTTATAGAATTGCGTAATGTTTCTATTTATAGAATTGCGTAATGTAATGTTTCTATTTATAGAATTGCGTAATGTTTCTATTTATAGAATTGCGTAATGTTTCTATTTTTAGAAATTGCGTAATGTTTCTATTTTTAGAAATTGCGTAATGTTTCTATTTTTAGAAATTGCGTAATGTTTCTATTTTTAGAAATTGCGTAATGTTTCTATTTATAGAATTGCGTAATGTTTCTATTTATAGAATTGCGTAATGTTTCTATTTTTAGAAATTGCGTAATGTTTCTATTTTTAGAAATTGCGTAATGTTTCTATTTTTAGAAATTGCGTAATGTTTCTATTTATATTGTTTCTATTTATAGAATTGCGTAATGTTTCTATTTATAGAATTGCGTAATGTTTCTATTTATAGGGTTTCTATTTATAGAATTGCGTAATGTTTCTATTTATAGAATTTCGTAATGTTTCTATTTTTAGAAATTGCGTAATGTTTCTATTTTTAGAAATTGCTTAATGTTTCTATTTTTAGAAATTGCGTAATGTTTTTATTTTTAGAAATTGCGTAATGTTTCTATATATAGAATTGCGTAATGTTTCTATTTATAGAATTGCGTAATGTTTCTATTTATAGAATTGCGTAATGTTTCTATTTATAGAATTGCGTAATGTTTCTATTTATAGGGTTTCTATTTTTAGAAATTGCGTAATGTTTCTATTTTTAGAAATTGCGTAATGTTTCTATTTTTAGAAATTGTGTAATGTTTCTATTTTTAGAAATTGCGTTATGTTTCTATTTTTAAAAATTGCATAATATTTCTATTTTTAGAAATTGTGTAATGTTTCTATTTTTAGAAATTACGTAATGTTTCTATTTTTAGAATTGCGTGTTTCTATTCATATATATATACAAAATAGATAAACAAAACTAATGTGACAAGACAGACCAACTAAATTTATAAAAAGGAAATGTTAAGATCTGTTCAAACCTTTCTATGTTTGCGTTTAGAAAAAGTAAAAAGTCGAGGGTTGCCCCCGCCCGGCGGTGGCTCTTGTTGATATAAAGTTATTCAGGATAAGTACAAGTGTTGAAATTTTTGGCCATGTATGTTCAACCTTCAGAATTTCATTATCATAATTCCTTTACTTGTGCAAAATACTTGACCGCTTCACATGCAATATACATTTCTGTAATACAAACCAATGATATTTTCAAATATTTTTAAAACCAAATAATTCATAAAATTATAACCCCTACATATTTATAGTAATTTTGAAAGGTATTGGGTAAATTACAACCTGTCATCACTTAACTCCTTTCCAGACACCTTACTTTCCCCTGCAAATGCATTGAGGTCATCTTTAATGTCCTTGGTATTGTAACACGTGATGATGATGATGTAATTGATCTATTTCTGTAATTGAAAATATAGCATACTAGTACCAAGGCCTAAAATCTTTACTATTCAAAGCCATTCAAATAAGTGAATTGAAGCAATGCTTATTTAAGGAAGAAGGGTTGTCAAATGATTAAGAATCATTTAACGTTTTCAGGACAATCACTTTTTTGATCTTGCTGTTATCTTCCATGATTACTGTTAAAAATGTTGAAATTTTACTGCAGAAATGACTCAAATAATACAAAACAATTGACTTTTTACCTATTTTCCCATTGACTTTTTTTCTTTTTCTACTTTATGTTTTTGAATATTTGTCAACCCTGGATAGTAGTCCAATATATTCAACATTATGGGCTTGTTATAGATTATGTCGGTCAAGTTTGCTTTTGGCTCAAAAGCAAAGATATCTCAAAATCAAAGTGACGTCACATTTATAGATCAACACTTGATAGTTGAACATGCTTTGAAGAAATGCCTGTTCTGCTAGTCAATAGTTCTACATGTAACCCTCTTTGAGTCATGTGTGGCTGGTCTATTACACAGTAGTGTAATTACCATGCCAGTTGTACAGTTTATCTTTCAGTAGTGTAATTACCATGCCAGTTGTACAGTTTATCTTTCAGTAGTGTAATTACCATGCCAGTTGTACAGTTTATCTTTCAGTAGTGTAATTACCATGCCAGTTGTACAGTTTATCTTTCAGTAGTGTAATTACCATGCCAGTTGTACAGTTTATCTTTCCATTTACACTTACAGTAAAAACAATAAATTAAAATTTAAATGTGATGGGTAAATAAGTTTAATAACATTTTCTCAAAATGTAATTATCTTTGTTGCTTAAATAATTTTTATACCCCCAAAAACGAAGTTTGGGGGGGGTATATAGGAGTCACCCAGTGGTCGGTTGGTTGGTCGGTCGGTCGGTCGGTCCAGACGTCCGTTGCATTTTCCTTGTCCGGAGCATAACTTGAAAACTAATGGTTGGAATTCAATATAACTACATACAATGGTCAAGCACATTGAGAGGAAGTGCAGTGCACAAGAACCATAACTCTATCTTGACTAATTACAGAGTTATTGCCCTTTGTTACTTTTCCTTGTCCGGGGCATAACTTGAAAACTACTGGTTGGAATTCAAAACAACTTCATACAATTGTCAAACACAATAAGGGGAAGTGCAGTGCACAAGAACCATAACTCTATCTAAAGTAATTACAGAGTTATTGCCCTTTGTTGCTTTTTCTATTGTTTTTTTTTTGTCCGTTGCATTTTCCTTGTCCGGATCATAACTTGAAGACTAATGGTTGGAATTCAATATAACTACATACAATGGTCAAGCACATTGAGAGGAAGTGCAGTGCACAAGAACCATAACTCTATCTTGACTAATTACAGAGTTATTGCCCTTTGTTACTTTTCCTTGTCCGGGGCATAACTTGAAAACTACTGGTTGGAATTCAAAACAACTTCATACAATTGTCAAACACAATAAGGGGAAGTGCAGTGCACAAGAACCATAACTCTATCTAAAGTAATTACAGACTAATTGCCCTTTGTTACTTTCTATTGTTTTTTTTTTTTGTCCGTTGCATTTTCCTTGTCCGGAGCATAACTTGAAGACTAATGGTTGGAATTCAATATAACTACATACAATGGTCAAGCACATTGAGAGGAAGTGCAGTGCACAAGAACCATAACTCTATCTTGACTAATTACAGAGTTATTGCCCTTTGTTACTTTTCCTTGTCCGGGGCATTAACTTGAAAACTACTGGTTGGAATTCAAAAACAACTTCATACAATTGTCAAACACAATAAGGGGAAGTGCAGTGCACAAGAACCATAACTCTATCTAAAGTAATTACAGAGTTATTGGCCTTTGTTGCTTTTCAATTGCCTTCCTTTTTTTGTCCGGAGCATAACTTGAAGACTAATGGTTTGGATTCAATATAACTACATACAATGGTCAAGCACACATTGAGAGGAAGTGCAGTGGCATAAAAACAATAACTCTATCTAAAGTAATTACAGAGTTATTGTCCTTTATTACTTTTTCCATTGCTTTTTTTTGTCCGGACCATAACTTGAAGACTAATTGTTGGAATTCATTATAACTTCATACAATGGTCCAGCACATTGAGAGGAAGTGCAGTGCACAAGAACCATAACTCCATTTTGACTTATTACAGAGTTACTGCCCTTTTTTTTCTTTTCCTTGTCCAGAGCATGACTTTAAAACTACTGGTTGGAATTCAAAAACAACTTCATACAATGGTCAAGCACAATAAGTGGAAGTGCAGTGCACAAGAACCATAACTCCATCTTCACTAAATACAGAGTTATTGCCCTTTGTTACTTTTCCATTGCTTTCTTTTGTCCGGACCATAACTTGAAGACTTATTGTTGGAATTCATTTATAACTTCATACAATGGTCAAGCACATTGAGAGGAAGTGCAGTGCATACGAACCATAACTCCATCTTGACTAATTACAGAGTTACTGCCCTTTGTTACTTTTTCCTTGTCCAGAGCATGACTTGAAAACTACTGGTTGGAATTCAAAACAACTTCATACAATGGTCAAGCAAAATAAGGGGAAGTGCAGTGCACAAGAACCATAACTCCATCTTGACTAATTACAGAGTTATTGCCCTTTGTTACTTTTCCTTGTCCAGAGCATAACTTGAAAACTACTGTTTGGAATTCAGTACAACTTCATACAGTTGTCAAGGACATTCAAAGGAAGTGCAGTGCACAAGAGCCATAACTCCATTTTGACAAAATACAGAGTTACTGCCCTTTTATACTTTTCCTTGTCCGGAGCATAACTTAAAACGTACTAGTTGGAATTCAAAACAACTTCATTCAATGGTCAAGCACAATAAGAGGAAGTGCAGTGCACAAGAACTATAACTCTATCTTCAGTATTTATAGAGTTATTGCCCTTTGTTCTTTTTCTTTGTCTTTCTGGACTTATTACAGAGTAATTCAATTAAACTTCATCAATGGCCATTTAACCACATTGAAAGGAAATGCAACATACATGAACCACAATTATCTTTAATTGCCCACAACCATAACTCTATGTTTCAATTCTTTTACAAGGTATTCTGTTACTAGTAACATCCTCATTTCCGAAGCAGACTTGTGGGGGTATTAATCACATTTAGTGATAGTTCTAGTTAAAAGATAGTGTTTGGAGATATTAAACGATATTACAATGATAATAACATGCACAATAAATTCGGAATGGATCAGGCTCAGCCGATCTTTTAGTAAGGGTACGAAAATTACAGTAAACGAAAATTTAACTCACAGACGTGGATCTGCAAGCTAAGTTTCTTTATCATATGTCAATACAATTCTAAAAAATTAAACACAATATCTATGTTTATATATTCATAGGTGAAATTATTCTTATAAGTTAGACCAAGAAAAAATTAAACGCAAACAAAAATGAAATCAGTATTCACCTGTCAATCAGAAAATGTTACAACTTCACAGTCGCTTTTGGCTTTAATTTCCCTTTTTAGAAATTTTCACCGCCTTGATTCACTACCGATGTATATCCTTCATTGAATGAAATCACGGTTTCTTTCCACTTTTCCTTTCCGAATCTGAAATCTTCTTTCTCTTGTAAGCCTATACGTTTCACACCTTTCGTCTTGTCTGCCATTATTTTGGTTTGACATATATCAATCACGTGACTCCGATCCGAACATTTACGGAAATAATCGAAGGGCTTCCCGCCAAAATATAAATCTTATTTGACTAACCCAGTCAAATAAGAAATTGTAATTTTTAGAATGGCCAGAAATGTTACGGGGAGGGTTTCTAAGTTGGAAAACTTTGTCAATACTAGTTAAATTATGCATTTGATAACAATAAGGTGTTAATTTGACAATTTATTTTGATGAATTTGAACAGGAATATAACTTTAACTATTTGTGAAGTATTAAGGCATGACATTCAGTATTTATGTAAATATCTCTTCTCGTGTTATGATTTCTAAAATTATACATGTACACATGTGCTATTGACCTCAATAAATGTAAGTGAAAATGGAACAATAATTATGGTAATTTATAATCCATGGTGCTAGTAATACTTAATTATCTTTATCAAATTGTTAGCTAAGCAAGAAGCTTACGTAATTTAAAAATTACCTAACCTCACAATATTATCAATTTAAACTTGAAAATCTACTCAAAATGAGTTCCCAAACAGTAATTTTTGAATCATGAAAATGATTCATGTTGAAAAATAACACAAGAAAAAACTGATTTGACTCATGATAGTTTTGGCCAAACAGTCTGCCACGTGAAATTCTGACCTTCCTGAGATCCCTGCTGTTTGTTGTTGTTTTTTGTTGTTGTTTTTTTTATAACATTTTACAAGATTTAATTTTACAACTAAACCTGTGTATAGAGCCACTCATGTGAACAGAAAGAAGTTTTTGTAGAAAGGGGTGTTCTAATATGATAAACCACAGATGCTTGGGGGTTAGATCCTGCCCCCAACATGATACCCCTGAGTAAACACTATCAAAAAATATTTTAATATTTAAACAATAATGGGATATCTGTTATGACTATAATACTGGTTTTCGAAAAATATTTACATATATGAAAAAAAAATACTGTTTACCATCATGTATTGAGGCTTGATTCGGGGCAGGCGAATTGGTTGGGCCAAATTTTCATAAGTTTTCTCAGCAACTACTTATCAGAGCCTCATGATATTTAGTATACAGCATTAACACATTGTCCCATACCATGGGATTCGATTTCAGGTCTGTCGCTCATCCACTTCATGTTTACTGACTTAGTTAAATTCATAATAATGGTCAATGGTAGAAATTTTTCGAAACAATTTTCTCAGCAACTACTTAACACAGCCTCTTGATATTTGGTATACAACATATTAACATGTAGTCACATACCATGGGATATAATTTCAGGTATGTGGCTCATCCACTTCTTGTTTGCTGACTTAGTTAAATTTTTATGCCCCCACAATGTGGGAGCATATAGCGTTGCACTTGTCCGTCCGTCCGTCAGTCCGTCCGTACATCCCGAAATCTTGTGAACGCAACTCCTCTTAAACCGCATGGCAGATTTTGCTTAAACTTACAGGGATGAACAACCTTTATGTGTAGATGGTAGTAAAGGAAGGAATTTTTGCTGTGACCAAATTTAACAGAATTATGGCCCTTTGTTGATTTTTTCACTATATACTATGTAGAAATTTTGTGAACGCAACTCCTCTTAAACCGGATGGCAGATTTTGCTTAAACTTACAGGGATGAACAACCTTAATGTGTAGATGGTAGTAAAGGAAGGAATTTTTGCCGCGACCAAATTTAACAGAATTATGGCCCTTTGTTGATTTTTTCACTATATACTATGTAGAAATTTTGTGAACGCAACTCCTCTTAAACCGGATGGCAGATTTTGCTTAAACTTACAGGGATGAACAACCTTAATGTGTAGATGGTAGTAAAGGAAGGAATTTTTGCTGCGACCAAATTTAACAGAATTATGGCCCTTTGTTGATTTTTTCACTATATACTATGTAGAAATTTTGTGAACGCAACTCCTCTTAAACCGGATGGCAGATTTTGCTTAAACTTACAGGGATGAACAACCTTAATGTGTAGATGGTAGTAAAGGAAGGAATTTTTGCTGCGACCAAATTTAACAGAATTATGGCCCTTTGTTGATTTTTAGTTTTCAACTTGTGGCACATGTAGTCCAAAAAATATTTGACCTAGAGTCATAAGATTGACAGAACAGTGGCGTGTGGGGGCATCCGTGTCCTATGGACACATTTCTAGTTGGCATTAATTGTAAATGGAAGGAAATTTCCGTAACAGTTTTCTCAGCAACTACATATCACAGCCTCTTGATATTTGGTATTGTGACTGCATTAATACGGGGTCCCAAGTTTAAGTCTATCGCTTATCCACTTCCTGTTTACCGACTTTAAGTTAAATATTCGACATTGATGGTCAATGGTAGGAAATTTTTGTAACATCACAGCCTCATGAGTCATGTTATTTGGTATACAAATAATGCAACCCGGCCTTTTTTGTCTTTGACCCATTTTTATTGTTCAAAGTATTATCCAAAATTGTACTTCGTCTTGTTAATTATGATGTCATTGTTAAAATATTCATGATGTAAACACGTTACAGGGAGTGTATTTTTTAGTTAAAGAAAAGAAAAAATAGGTATTTCTATACACTTGTTTGCATTCCTGTTGCTGTTGGCCAAAAATACTTTACATTTGACACTAACCTTTAAATGACATTAAAGAATTTTATAAACCTGTTGCTTGTTTTTAAAAAAAAAAATACTTTTAAAATCTATTCCTTAAGGTGAGCGATATAGTGCCATCATGGTCCTCTTGTTTACTGTTACTTCTTTATTTCTTAAGGGATCAACCTCATACTTCAAATGTACCATATGTACCTTATCATCATCCACATCTTATGTGACAAGGTTCATAACTCTAGCACCAATATTTTCAGATTTATCTCCCCTTGAACTTAGAATTTTCCTTAAAAAATATTATTTTTTACTGTTACTTCTTTATTTCTAAAGGGATCAACTTCATACTTCAAATATATGTACCTTATCATCATCTACATCTTATGTGACAAGGTTCATAACTCTAGCACCAATATTAATATTGCAAGAATTATCTCCCCATTAACTTAGAATATTTTACTTGAAAAATGTTATTTTTTACTATAACTTTTTTAGTTTTAAAGGTATCAACCTCAAACTTCAAATACTTATTCCTTATCATCAATTACATTTTATGTGACAATGTTCATAACTCTTGAAGCAATATTTACAGATTTATCTCTCTTTGAACTTATGATTTTCTTTAAGAAATATTATAACTTCTTTACTTTTTAAGGTATCTACTTCAAACTTCAAATATATATTTCTTATCATTACACACATGTTGTGTGACAAGGTTCATAACTCTAGCATGACTATTTCTAGAATTATTCCCCTTGAACTTGGAATTTATGTTAACAAATGTTATATTTTTGCTATAAGTTAATACATAATTATACATAATTGATTTTTCTTTCATAGTTTTGTCCTCCTTACTGCGTCCAGTATTTTATTAGTCGAGCTTCGCTGTCTCCTGTGACAGCTCTTGTTACTGTACTCCCAGTCTTTTCAATAATTTCGTACCCAGATAACAGTTACAGACAATTTTCTCTTTGAGACCATTACTTTTTATGCTCCCCGAAAAAATTTCGGGGGAGCATATAGTCGCCGCCTTGTCCGTCCGTCCGTCCGTCTTTCCGTCTGTCCGTCCCCTTTTCTTGTCCGGGACATAACTTTGAAACAACAAGAGGTATCAACATGAAACTTTGTAGGTAGATAGATCTCATTGAGTAGGTGTGCAGTGCACAAGAACCGTAACTCTGCCTTGCCTAATTTTTGAATTATTCCCCTTTGTTTATTTTTACACTTTGAACTTTGTCCGGGACATAACTCTAAAAGTATAAGAGGTATCAACATGAAACTTTGTAGGTAGATAGATCTCATTGAGTAGAAGTGCAGTGCACAAGAACCATTACTCTGCCTTGCCTAATTTTTGAATTATCCCCCTTTGTTTATTTTACACTTTGAACTTTGTCCGGGACATAACTCTAAAAGTATAAGAGGTATCAACATGAAACTTTGTAGGTAGATAGATCTCATTGAGTAGGTGTGCAGGGCTCATTGAGTAGGTGTGCAGGGCACAAAAACCGTAACTCTGCCTTGCCTAATTTTTGAATTATCCCCCTTTGTTTATTTTACACTTTGAAATTTGTCTGGGACATAACTCTAAAAGTATAAGAGGTATCAACATGAAACTTTGTAGTTAGATAGATCTCATTGAGTAGGTGTGCAGTGCACAAGAACCGTAACTCTGCCTTGCCTAATTTTTGAACTATCCCCCTTTGTTTATTTTACACTTTGAACTTTGTCCGGGACATAACTCTAAAAGTATAAGAGGTATCAACATGAAACTTTGTAGGTAGATAGATCTCATTGAGTAGGTGTGCAGTGCACAAGAACCGTAACTGCCTTGCCTAATTTTTGAATTATCCCCCTTTGTGTATTTTACACTTTGAACTTTGTCCGGGACATAACTCTAAAAGTATAAGAGGTATCAACATGAAACTTTGTAGGTAGATAGATCTCATTGAGAAGGTGTGCAGTGCACAAGAACCGTAACTCTGCCTTGCCTAATTTTTGAATTATTCCCCTTTGTTTATTTTTACACTTTGAACTTTGTCCGGGACATAACTCTAAAAGTATAAGAGGTATCAACATGAAACTTTGTAGGTAGATAGATCTCATTGAGTAGGTGTGCAGTGCACAAGAACCGTAACTCTGCCTTGCCTAATTTTTGAATTACCCCCCTTTGTTTATTTTACACTTTGAAATTTGTCCGGGACATAACTCTAACAGTATAAGAGGTATCAACATGAAACTTTGTAGGTAGATAGATCTCATTGAGTAGAAGTGCATTGCATAAGAACCATAACACTGCCTTGCCTAATTTTTGAATTATCCCCCTTTGTTTATTTTACTTTTTGAACTTTGTCCGGGACATAACTCTAAAAGTATAAGAGGTATCAACATGAAACTTTGTAGGTAGATAGATCTCATTGAGTAGATGTGAAGTGCACAAGAACCGTAACTCTGCCTTGCCTAATTTTTGAATTATCCCCCTTTGTTTATTTTACACTTTGAAATTTGTCTGGGACATAACTCTAAAAGTATAAGAGGTATCAACATGAAACTTTGTAGTAAGATAGATCTCATTGAGTAGGTGTGCAGCGCACAAGAACCGTAACTCTGCCTTGCCTAATTTTTGAATTATCCCCCTTTGTTTATTTTACACTTTGAACTTTGTACGGGACATAACTCTAAAAGTATAAGAGGTATCAACATGAAACTTTGTAGGTAGATAGATCTCACTGAGTAGGTGTGCAGTGCACAAGAACCATAACTGCCTTGCCTAATTTTTGAATTATCCCCCTTTGTTTATTTTACACTTTGAAATTTGTCCTGGACATAACTCTAAAAGTATAAGAGGTATCAACATGAAACTTTGTAGGTAGATAGATCTCATTGAGTAGGTGTGCAGTGCACAAGAACCGTAACTCTGCCTTGTCTAATTTTTGAATTATCCCCCTTTGTTTATTTTACACTTTGAACTTTGTCCGGGACATAACTCTAAAAGTATAAGAGGTATCAACATGAAACTTTGTAGGTAGATAGATCTCATTGAGTAGGTGTGCAGTGCACAAGAACCTTAACTCTGCCTTGCCTAATTTTTGAATTATCCCCCTTTGTTTATTTTTACACTTTGAACTTTGTCCGGGACATAACTCTTAATGTATAAGAGATATCAACATGAAACTTTGTAGGTAGATAGATCTCATTGAGTAAGTTTGCAGTGCACAAGAACTGTAACACTGTCTTGCCTACTTTTGGAGTTATTGCCCTTTGTTCATTTTGACACTTTGAACTTTGTCTGGGACATTACTCTAAAATTATAAGAGATATCAACATGAAACTTTGTAGATAGATAGGTCTCATTGGGTGGAAGTGCAGTGCTTAAGAATCATTACTCTGCCTTGCCTTATTTTGAAGTAATTGCCCTTTGTTTATTTTTACTTTTTGACTTTTGTCCTGGACATTACTTTAAAACTATTAGAGATATCAACATGAAACTTTGTAGGTAGCTAGATATAATTGGATAGAACTGCAATGCTTAAAGAACCTAAACAAAGCCTGGTCTAATTTTGGAGTTATTGCCCTTTGTTCATTTTTTTTATACTTTCCTGTGTCCAGAACCTTCTCGGGGAGCATCACCCGGTTCAACCGGTTCTTGTTTAGCTCACCTGTCACAAAGTGACAGGGTGAGCTTTTGTGATCGCTTTTCGTCCGGCGTCCGGCCTTCGTCCGGCGTCCGACCGTTGTCCGTTCGTAAACTTTTACTTTAAATGACATCTCCTCATAAACCACTAAGCCAATTTCATCCAAACTTCACAGGAATGTTCCTTTGGTGGTCACCTTTAAAAATTGTACAAAGAATTTAATTCCATGCAGAACTCTGGTTGCCATGGCAACCGTAAGAAAAAACTTTAAATATCTTCTTTTAAAAAACCCTAAGAGCTAGAGCTTAGATATTTGGCATGAAACATCTTCTAATGAGTGTCTACTAAGCTTGTTCAAATAAAAGCCCTGGGGTCAAAATTGGCCCCGCCCCAGGGGGTCTTTGATTTTCCCTATATGCATATACTAAAAACTTAAAATATCTTCTTTTAAAGAACCCAAATAGCTAGAGATAAGATATTTAGCATGAAACATCTTCTAATGAGTGTCTACAAAGTTTGTTCAAATAAAAGCCCTGGGGTCAAGATTGGCCCCGCCCCAGGGGTCATTGATTTTCCTTATATGTGTATAGCAAAAACTTAAAAAATCTTCTTTGAAAAAACCCAAATAGCTAGAGTTTAGATATTAAGCATGAAACATCTTCTAGTAAGTGTCTACCAAGTTTGTTCAAATAAAAGCCCTGGGGTCAAAATTGGCCCCCGCCCCAGGGGGTCTTTCATTTTCCCTATATGCATATAGTAAAAACTTAAAAAATCTTCTTTTAAAGAACCCAAATAGCTAGAGCTAAGATATTTAGCATGAAAAATCTTCTAATGAGTGTGTACCAAGTTTGTTCAAATAAAAGCCCTTGGGTCAAAATTGGCCCCGCCCCAGGGGGTCTTTGATTTTCCCTATATGCATATAGTAAAAACTTAAAATATCTTCTTTTAAAGAACCCAAAGAGCTAGAGCTAAGATATTTAGCATGAAACATGTTCTAATTGGTGTCTACCAAGTTTGTTCAAATAAAAGCCCTGGGGTCAAAATTGGCCCCGCCCCAGGTGTTATTGATTTTCCTTATATTTGTATAGCAAAAACTTAAAAATCTTCTTTGAAAAAACCCAAATAGGATTATAGCTAGAGTTTAAATATTAAGCATGAAACATCTTCAAGTAATTGTCTACAAAGTTTGTTCAAATAAAAGCCCGGGGGTCAAAATTGGCCCCGCCCCAGTGGTGTCATTGGTTTTAACTATATGTGTATCATTGATTTTCCTTACATGTGTATAGCAAAAACTTAAAAAATCTTCTTTTAAAAAAAACCCAATGAGCTAGAGCTTAGATGTTTAGCATGAAACATCTTCTTATGGGTGTCTACCAAGTTTGTTCAAATAAAAGCATTTGGGTTAAAATTGGCCCTGCGGGGGGGGGGGGGGCTATGGGGGGCGGAAAGATCGTTGTTTCTCATTATATGTGTGTTAGTAAAAACTTAACATCGTGAAACATCTTCTAATGGGCGTCTTCCAAGTTTGTTCAAATAAAAGCCTTGGGGTTTAAACTGGCTCCGCTCCGGGTGCCTTTATACAGGTGAGCGACCTCATGGCCCTCTTGTTTAAGTAAAGATATAAATCTTTCTTGTTTATTTTTATACCCCCGAAACGAAGTTTGGGGGGGTATATAGGAGTCTGACCCGGTGGTCGGTCGGTCCAGCTGTCTGTTGCATTTTCCTTGTCCGAAGCATAACTTGAAGACTAATGGTTGGAATTCAATATAACTTCATACAATGGTCAAGCAGTGCAGTGCACAAGAACCATAACTCCATCTTGACTAATTACAGAGTTATTGCCCTAAATTTGTTACTTTTCCTTGTCCGGAACATAACTTGAAAACTACTGGTTGGAATTCAAAACAACTTCATACAATTGTCAAGCACAATAAGGGCAAGTGCAGTGCACAAGAACAATAACTCTTTTAAAGTAATTACAGAGTTATTGCCCTTTGTTACTTTTCCATTGCTTTCTTTTGTCCGGACCATAACTTGAAGACTAAAAGTTGGAATTCAATATAACTTCATACAATGGTCAAGCACATTGAGAGGGAGTGCAGTGCCCAAGAACCATAACTCCATCTTGACTTATTACAGAGTTACTGCCCTTCGTTACTTTTCCTTGTCCGGAGCATAACTTGAAAACTTCTGGTTGTGTTACTTTTCCTTGTCTGGAGCATAACTTGAAAACTACTGGTTGGAATTCAAAACAATTTCATACAATGGTCAAGCATAATAAGGGGAAGTGCAGTGCACAAGAACCATAACTCTGTCTTGACTAATTATTTAGTTATTGCCCTTTGTTACTTTTCCATTGCTTTTTTGTCCGGAGCATTACTTGAAGACTAATGGTTGGAATTCAATATAACTTCATACAATGGTTCAGCACATTGAGAGGAAGTGCAGTGCACATAAACCATAACTCCATCTTGACTAATTACAGAGTGATTGCCCTTTGTTACTTTTCCTTGTCCGGAGCATAACTTGAAAACTACTTGTTGGAATTCAATACAACTTCATACAGTTGTCAAGCACATTTAGAGGAAGTGCAATGCACAAGAACCGTAACTCCGTTTTGACAAATTACAGAGTTATTGCCCTTTGATACTTATCCTTGTCCGTAACATAACTTAAAACATACTGGTTGGAATTCAAAACAACTTCATACAATGGTCAAGCACAATAGGAGGAAGTGCAGTGCACAAGAACTATAACTCTGTCCAGAGTAATTATAGAGTTATTGCCCTTTGTTACTTTTTCATTGCTTTTTTCTTGTCCAGAGCATAACTTTAAAACTGCTAGTTGGAATTCAATACTATTTCATACAATGGTCATGTATATTGAGAGGAAGTGCAGTGCACAGAAACTATAACTCTTTTCTTGACTTATTTAAAAGTTTTTGGCCTTTGTTACATTTTATTATTGTCCAGTGCATTAAACTTGAAAATTGATGGTTGGAATTCAATGAAATTTTATACAATGATCAAGGGCAGTGAGATGAAGTGCAGTGCACAAGAACCATAACTATTTGGACTAATTACAGTTATTGCCCTTTGTTACTTTTTTGTCCAGTGCATAACTTGAAAACTGGTAGTTGGAATTCAATACAACTTCATACAATGGTCAAGCACAATGAGAGGAAGTGCAGTGCATAATAACCATAACTCCATCTTCAGTATTTATAGAGTTATTGTTCTTTGTTCCTATTCCTTGTCTTTCGTGACTTATTACAGAGTAAATCAATGAAATTTCATCAATGGCCAACCACATTGAAAGGAAATGCAACATACAAGAACCACAACTATCTTTATTTGCCCACAACCATAACTCTATTTCATTTCTTTTACAAGGTATTCTGTTACTAGTAACATCCTTATTTCTGAAGCTGTTTTGCAGGGGTATTAATCACATTTAGTGATAGATCTAGTTTAAATTCTAATGTTAATTATAATTATTAATTGTTCAAAATTGAGAAAAGGCAGAAAATATATAGAAAATAGTCAAAGAACTGACCAATGGAGATTGTAAAATAGTGTGACACATTTTCAACTGTGGTATCAGTATACCTAGCCTAAGGATGTCTGCCCTTACAGAGCATGATTTGTATTGTTTTGCACAGAATCAATATTTCTTATCACTTCTGCTTGGATTGTACTCGACACTGAGAAGGCACAGGGCATCGGCAGAAGATTTGAAGACTTGGGATTGGGCAAAAGATCAGAACTTATACTGCAGACCAGCTGTCGGTGTCCTGACTAATGCCGAGGGAAGTGGCCCTACAAAGTAAGCTAAGACGACAAGAATGGTGTGCTAGGGTGCTTGAGCCCCTAGCACAGATAGACAGCTTGAATGGCAGGTCTTTTTCTGGCACCAAGCCCTTTTAAGGGCTACCATTTCATTATTGTCTCAGGTTCTCATTGACTGTAGTAAAGTGACCTACTTTTGACTTTGGCTAAAACTCCATGGAAATTGCATGGAGGTAAATTGTCACCACTTTGTGCCTCAAAATTAACTCTTAAGGGCATGACTGGTGTCAGTTGTCCAGGGTCGGTACTCAACAGCAAAAGCTGCATTTTGTGCCCTTGCTGGCGGATGGACCCTCATTAAGCATAGACTACACACACACAGAATCAATATTGTTTGTAAAAGTTTTTCTAAAAATGTCTGTTTGATTTTATTTGTAAAAGTTTTTCTTAAAAATAAATATCAGTTTGATTTTATGCAAAAATTGCTAAATGCTTGTATAGATTTTACCCCTTACATTTTTGGCCGGATTGCACTGGTGCAAACCCGGGTTATAGTATGGTGAATGTCGGGCGGGCAGTGGGCAACGGGCGGGCGGGGAAAAACTTTCGTAATTGTTTTCTCAGCAACTACTTATATCACAGCCCCTTGGTATTTGGCATACAGCGTTGACACATGGTCCTATACTGTGGGATTCAATTTCAGGTCTGTCGCTCATCCACTTCCTGTTTGCCAACTTAGTTAAATTTTCAGCATTAATGGTCAATGGTAGGCAATTTTCGTAACAGTTTTCTCAGCAACTACTTATCACAGCCTCTTGATATTTGGCATACAGCATTGACACATGGTCCCATACTGTGGGATTTGGTTTCAGGTCTGTCGCTCATCCACTTCCTGTTTAACAACTAAGTTAATTTTTCAACATTAATGGTCAGTGGCAGGAAATTTTCGTAACAGTTTTCTCAGCAACTACTCATCACAGCCTCTTGATATTTGGCATACAGCATTGACACAGGGTTTCGTACGGCGGGATTAGATTTCAAGTCTGTCGCTTATCCTTTTCCTGTTTATCTACTTAGTTAAATTTCCGACATTAATGGACAATGGTAGGAGGAAATTTTTGTAACAGTTTTCTCAGCAACTACTTCTCACAGCTTCTTGATATTTGGCATACAGCATTGACACATGGTCCCATACTGTGGGATTTGATTTCAGGTCTGTCATCCATTTCCTGTTTACCGACTTAGTTAAATTTGTGACTTTAATGGTAAATGATGGGAAATTTTCGTAACTATTTTCTCAGCAACTACTTATCACAGCCTTTTGATATTTTGCATACAAAATTAACTAGTGGTCCCATACTGTGGGATCCATTTTCAGATCTGTCAATCATTCATTTCCTATTTACTGACTTAGTTAAATTTTCGACATTAATGGTCAGTGGTAGGAAATTTTCGTAACAGTTTTCTCAGCAACTACTTATCACAGCTTCTTAATATTTAGCATACAGCATTGCCTCATGGTCCCATACTGTGGGATTCGATTTCAGGTGTGTCGCTCATCCATTTCCTGTTTACCGACTTAGTTAAATTTTTTACATTAATGGTCAATGGTAAACATTTTTTGTAACATCACAGCCTCATGACATTTGGTATACAAATGCAACCTGTCTTTGACCCATTTTTCAGAATTTACATTTTCCCTCTCGATGGGTAAAAACCCCTTGGCCAAAAAAAAATATCTGGGGCTCTGTAAATCTGTATTTTATCAAAGATGCTAAATATACTGACTTTAATTGACAGATTGACAGACTTCTGAAAAAAGTGTCAGACATTCTGTCTGACAATTCCTTGAATTTTGTCAGGCCGACAAAAAATCTGTCAGACCGGCACATTTACAGCAATATAACGAAATCAAGCAAGGTATTAAACATCATTTTCCCTTTATTTCAATAATCTTCAGATTTAACTCAATCCCTGTTTTACAGCATCAGTTTATTAGTCCCCTACCGGTTTAACCAGAGGGGACTTAAGGTTTACCCTCCGTCCATCTGTCTGTCCGTCCGTCCGTCTGTCAGTCCGTTTTTATGAAACTTGAAATATGGGTAGATGGCAGTCTTGAGATTATGCACATCTTTTTCTTTTCTTCCTATGTTGAAAATTCTGGTTGCTATGGCAACAAAAAGCCTGAATTTCAAGATTTCTGATTTAAATTTTTCATTTTTTTCACTATAAATTCTTTATTTCTTAAGGTATTTTCTTCAAACTTTAAATATAAGTTTCTGGTCATCAACCACATCATATGTGACAAGGTTTACAACTCTAGCACAAAAATTATCAGTATTACCTCCCTTGAACTTAGAATTTTTATAAAAAAAATGTCTTTTTTAAATAACTTCGTTGTTTCCTAATGTATCTACTTCAAACTTCATATATATGTTTCTTATTTTCACTCAACATTTTTGAGAAGGTTAAATACTCGAGCAAGACTATTTCCAGAATAACCATATGTCCCCCTTGAACTTAGATTTTTTAGAAATGTAAAAGGAATGTTAAGAAAGTCACTATTTCATTTATATTTGTTAAAATTTCGATTTCGCATTTAACAATATTTAAAAAATGTTAAATAATGTCTTGCAAAAGCTAAAGGAAACTACTGACATTTTATGCATTTCTAACCTTTCTATATTTAAGATTTGCTTTTAATGTCAATTAGTTTCCTTCTTCTTCATTGCATGGTCCAAACGTTATGTACATGATAACTTAACTAGAAATGTGTCCATAGGACACTGATGCCCCCACACGCCACTGTTCTGTCAATCTTATGACTCTAGGTCAAACATTTTTTGGACTACATGTGCCACAAGTTGAAAACTAAAAATCAACAAAGGGCCATAATTCTGTTAAATTTGGTCGCAGCAAAAATTCCTTCCTTTACTACCATCTACACATTAAGGTTGTTAATCCCTGGAAGTTTATGCAAAATCTGCCATCCGGTTTAAGAGGAGTTGCATTCACAAAATTTCCACATAGTATATAGTGAAAAAATCAACAAAGGGCCATAATTCTGTTAAATTTGGTCGCAGCAAAAATTCCTTCCTTTACTACCACCTACACATTAAGGTTGTAAATCCCTGGAAGTTTAAGCAAAATCTGCCATCCGGTTTAAGGGGAGTTGCATTCACAAAATTTCTACAAAGTATATAGTGAAAAAATCAACAAAGGGCCATAATTCTGTTAAATTTGGTCGCAGCAAAAATTCCTTCCTTTACTACCATCTACACATTAAGGTTGTTCATCCCTGTAAGTTTAAGCAAAATCTGCCATCCGGTTTAAGAGAAGTTGCGTTCACAAAATTTCTACATAGTATATAGTGAAAAAATCAACAAAGGGCTATAATTCTGTTAAATTTGGTTGCAGCAAAAATTCCTTCCTTTACTACCATCTACACATTAAGGTTGTTCATCCCTGTAAGTTTAAGCAAAATCTGCCATCCGGTTTAAGAGGAGTTGCGTTCACAAATTTCTACATAGTATATAGTGAAAAAATCAACAAAGGGCCATAATTCTGTTAAATTTGGTCGCAGCAAAAATTCCTTCCTTTACTACCATCTACACATTAAGGTTGTTCATCCCTGTAAGTTTAAGCAAAATCTGCCATCCGGTTTAAGAGGAGTTGCGTTCACAAAATTTCTACATAGTATATAGTGAAAAAATCAACAAAGGGCCATAATTCTCTTAAATTTGGTCGCAGCGAAAATTCCTTCCTTTACTACCATCTACACATTAAGGTTGTTCATCCCTGTAAGTTTAAGCAAAATCTGCCATCCGGTTTAAGAGGAGTTGCGTTCACAAAATTTCTACATAGTATATAGTGAAAAAATCAACAAAGGGCCATAATTCTCTTAAATTTGGTCGCAGCGAAAATTCCTTCCTTTACTACCATCTACACATTAAAGTTGTTCATCCCTGTAAGTTTAAGCAAAATCTGCCATCTGGTTTAAGAGGAGTTGCGTTCACAAGATTTCGGGACGGACGGACAGACAAGTGCAACGCTATATATGCTCCCACATTGTGGGGGCATAAAAACGAAAAAACACGTAAAAGCATATAAATGTTGAATAAATGTATGTTTGCAGCTGAATGTGCTATTTTTGCGTAAGATGTTACATGTAGTTTTGTATCTTCTTGCACTAATATGATGTGCTGATAATGATTAACGTGACTTCTCTTCAAATATTGTCTTATGTAATATATATATTTTTACATCTTTGAAATTGTTCCTTTTGTATAATTATGATGCTTTACTTTGCTTAATGTTGTTTCTTTTCATTGACTGTTTTATGTAATATGTATATCTTCGAACATTCGGAGGCAATAAAGATGTATATATATACTAGGCAGGGAAACTTAATACATTACTGTGATATAGACAAACTTAGAACTCAAAAGATTTAAGTTCATTCATGTCATTCATTTACTGGTAAAATTGAATGGCCATTTGGCCCATCAGAATGTTGATGGGGTTCTAACCGGTAGGGGACTTATGGATTGCTTGCAATACTATGATAATTGCTTGTTCATCCTGAAATTTAAACATTTATCCTCCTGATCTGGATGTCAACTTCCCTGTCAAATTAAACATATGATTATTCACCTTTCTAAAGACAATTTGACCTCAAGAAAAACCTTCATATTAGAGCTACCCAGTGGAACACCAAATGTTGGTTTTATTGAGGATGAGCGAGCTGTAGAAAAAAAAAGATTGCAAATATAATAAGTAAATACTATAAATATTTTAGGTGAAATAATCTTGAATAGGTGAATATTTCTATAAAATTTCAATAAATTATGATTAAACATTTAAATTCATCTACTTAAGAAACTAATACCAATAGCATCATGTCTGATGTATGTGAAGCTTATTTTAAAAGGAATAACATTGTGTAAAATTTATTGCGAATCAAATGTACAAAAATATATAATCATATATTATACTTTTAAGTTACGCAAGGGCAATTTTCTCAATCAATTTTAACTATACATGAACAAATGTATTATTTAAACTGAATTTTGCACATAAAAACCTAAAAATGATTGTAAAAGTTACTGTGTCACTGATACAATTTTACTATTTATATTTCACTACTTCAATTTCAAACTTAAATGATTATAATACTTTTCTACATTATAACCTCTCTTTGAATTTGTAAGACATAATGATAATTTGTCAGTTTAAGATCTTCATTAAAGTCAGCGAGAAATAACAGGATATTTGCAAAACTTTATATGAGCATTGATACATTCAATACAGATATATTTTACTTTTTTTGAATACAATAATTTATTGGAATATTTTATTAAACCATTAAAATTATTAAAATTTTATATATACCAAAATTATATAAGGTAAATTCAGAAGTCACATAATAGTTTTGTGAAAACATCGGTACTGTCTTTTGTCTTTGGTTCTGAATGACTATGTCACATGAATCAGTGGGCGGAGCTTTCTCTTCTTTGGCATTACATGTCAATTATATTGTTGTTCCTAAGCCTTAACATGCTATTATGGAAACATTTATAATGGTTAGCTTCATTCTCTTTATGACATTATTTTTTTAGAACCCAGAGTGGAAACTGCCAGTTAAACAAACAAAAAAACAGACTTTGTAACATCAGTTACATATGGCATACATTTAGTTAATCTGACACAGACAATGCATATTTACCAGATTTTTTGGCAAAGTTCACTTTGATTTGTTGACAGAGAGAAATGGGAATATTATGACCTGGCAATGTTTTTACGTGAACAGCCCAGATAAGCCCAGGTCACATACTAAATTTTTGCCTTTCAATTTTCAGGTCTGGCCTGTTAAAGATAGGTTCCACATTGACGATAAATTCTGTACGTAAGGAAGATGTTGAAAGAACCTTCATTTGTATTTTAGCTTCCACTCAGAAGATTAGTATTTTAGCTTCCACTCAGAAGATTGATGGTCAAATGTTCAAAAAAGTAGTCAGGATTTTCAAGAAAGGTACAAAGTATTTCTTTAAGGCATTGCTACAGGTACAATTTTAGTGAGTCATGACAATGAAGAAAAAATATCTTTTTTTTTTGCATAATGTTTAATAATGATAATTTAATATGCCATTCAAAAGTTTATAGTGTCCATAAAATTCATATAGAAACACAAGAATTTGACTTACAATTATAACAATTCAAATCTCATTTTAATAAAACCAAAGTCAAATATCATTTTAAAAAAAAAAACACTCTTAAGTTGAAAATTTTACCGTATTATGATTCTTACTGAAAATGCATAAATTGCTTTAAATCTTAAGATATAAGCTTCACATATAGTAATATTAATATCTCATTGAATTTTGTAACTCTGCGTCCTGGGTGCAGAATGCAATAAACTTGCTGTGGACGCAAAGTTTCAAGTTATGTACGTTTTTTGGATTCATGCTTTTATAGGTTTTTTTTAAAACAATTAGGACCTATTGGTCTTGTGAAAGGAATTTATCAAGGCTTTACCCATTCTGCCAGGATAATTATTTAAGTTGAAAAAATCAAAAGCAATGAAAAGCATTTAGGTAAAATTGGGCTATGAATATTTTGCATATGTTTTCATTTTAATAGCCACAGTTGATCTATGTAAGAAATTAAATTTTTTAATTAAATTTTTTTGCAGAGTTCATTGCAGAGTTCAAAATCAAAATTCATTGTGTAATTCAAAGGTGTATTCTTGGGCTACATATAGACATAATATATTATAGCTGAAATGAAAACTATAGATCTTAGATTGTTTGGAAAAAAAATGTTCTGGTCACCAATCTTGTTTTTAAGTTATCTAACATTGGATATCAATCTGAAGATTTAAAGATGAATAGATTCCATTGAGAAAAGAACCTTATTGCATAATCTTGGAGTTATTGCTCTTTGCAATTTTATGGCCACATTAAAGTGCGGAGCATAATAAAAATAGGGGGAATGTAAAATCCTCATCTGATCAGTGAGAAGAAATGAGAATGGTGTGGTTTACATAGCTTGATGAGACATTGTCCATGGCCAGTATACAGTAGATCTTCGTTCACTTGAACTCGCAGGGCCTGTGCAAATTTGTTCAAGAGGTAGCTTAAGCTCTCTTAGTTGCGCTTTCTCGCTCACCGGGTAAACCTTCTCCATCCTGACATCAACCATGTATTCTCTTTACCACTTATATGCCAGTTAAATTTTGAGCACATTTCACAAGCCAGGCATTTTGTTTGTATCATAACATAAGCACCAGGTTAACAACATTATCATATTAAAAAACAACAACTTGTTAACAATGAACACCTCTAATTTTGTATCAATTAGTCTAAATTGCCGTTATCATGATCACGATGTGTTTAAAACATGTGATGCCAACTGTCACCAAATCAAAGCTTGGCAACCCACAAGTTTTGTTGTCTTTGACCGAAAAGGTGTGAATTTCATTAGATTTCTATCAAAAGGATCAGGTTTGAGAGTTCAGTCATAATACAATCAGAGCGAGCCAATGGACCGGACCACGAGGTGATTCATTCGCAGCCACGTGACCAACAGCTATATACTGCCCAGCGTACCGATTCACCTGAACGAAGGGGGCGTCTCACACGTGCGAATTCTGTTTCTCCAAGACATTCAGCCACATACAGTCATGTTTCGAGCCCACTTACTAGCCGGGCAAGTACATCAGAAACAAACCAACAGAGCAATATATCGCGTCCATGGGACAATGATTCAAAGGACAACAATAAAAAATCATTACCACTGAAACTCACTCACATATGGATGGCAAAAAATAGGACAATTGGGGGAATTCTTTTCTAAAATATAATAAAAATGAAATAAAATGTGTTTCTCTTAATATGAATGGTTTAAAAAAACGCCTTCAGTATCCGGACTTTGTCGTTTTTATTAACTTGCATGATTTTGTGTGTATACAAGAAACTCATACGGATGCTTCTGATATTGTTGACATTGAAAATTTCGTATATTTTTCAAAATGTTGTAGTCAAGCTTATTTGAGAAAATCAGGGGGTATCGGACTATATGTTAAAGAGTCCTTAAGTCAATTTGTAAAACCTATTGAAAATAATACTGACTATATTTTTTGGTTTTCCTTGGATAAACATATGTTTAAGCAAAGTGAGCACGTCATACTAGGTATAATATATTTACCGCCAGAAGGTTCAAGATTTTTTAACGATTTAGACTACAGTACTTTTGAAAATGAAATTATTTCAAAGTACAGTTCTAATAAATATGTCCTCTTAGCTGGCAATCTGAACTCACATATTGCAGAGTTAATGGATTTCATTCCCTGTGATTCTTTCTTAAATGATCATTTTAACATTGACGACGAATTGGTGTCTTTCTTTGATAAATAAAGTACTAGAGGAATTATCAATTCCTGTACATAGGCTGTCAAGTGACAAAAGAATGAATAATCATGGCATTCAACTGATTGAACTCTGTAGAAGTAATAACATTTTTGTTGTTAATGGTAGATTTAAAACTGATAGGCCCGCAAATTTAACTTTCAGGAATAAATCAATTATTGACTATCTCATGGCGAGTGTTGATGCATTTAAACTTATATCTGATTTTAAAGTTATAGAAACAGACTCACTTTTTTCAGATGGACACAACGCGTTATATTGGACATTAAGTAACTTTGACATTAATTTTGACAAATCATATAAGAATGAAAATAAATCGCAAACTAAATCAAAACCGAAATGGCAAGAAGAACAAAGCAACAACTTTGTAACAAATATTGACACTAATCATTTATCACACATACAACAGCTGTGTAACTCAACGAATTACAGTCAACCCGGCCCCAAGTCAACCCGGCCCCAAGTCAGCCCGGCCCCAAATTGGTCAACCCGGCCCCAAACCAATTTTATTTCTGGTCAACCCGGCCCCATTTTTAACCAGGTTTTCCGAAGGAAAAAACTGGTTATTAGATTGAGGTATGTCGGCGGGCGGGCAGTCGGGTGGGCGGGCGGACGGGCGGGCGGGCGTAAACAATTTCTTCTGTGCGCAACTCCTCCTACATTTCTCAACGGATTTTGACCAAACTTTCACAGAAGCTTTGTCATCAAGTGCCCTGGCGCATATTGTCGGGGTTTTGCGATTAGATAATATTTGACCTAATTATGGCCCTTTGTTTTTTTTTCCTTATATAAAATATATAGTGAACAATTTATTCTGTGCGCAACTCCTCCTACATTTCTCAACGGATTTTGACCAAACTTTCTCAGAAGCTTTGTCATCAAGTGCCCTGACACATATTGCCAGGGTTTTGCAATTGGTATATATTTGACCTAATTATGGCCCTTTGTTTTTTTTCCTTATATAGAATATATAGTGAACAATTTCTTCTGTGCGCAACTCCTCCTACATTTCTCAACGGATTTTGACCAAACTTTCTTTAGAAGCTTTGTTATCAAGTGCCTGGCACATATTGTCGGGGTTTTGTGATTGGATAATATTTGACCGAATTATGGCCCTTTGTATATTTTTTCCTTATACAGAATATATAGAGAACAATTTCTTCTGTGCTCAACTCCTCCTACATTTCTCAACGGATTTTGACCAAACTTTCTTAGAAGCTTTGTTTTCAAGTGCCTGGCACATATTGTCGGGGTTTTGTGATTGGATAATATTTGACCGAATTATGGCCCTTTGTATATTTTTTCCTTATACAGAATATATAGTGAACAATTTCTACAGTGCGCAACTTCTCCTACATTTCTCAATGGATTTTGACCAAACTTTCACAGAAGCTTTGTCATCAAGTGCCCTGGCGCTCACTAAATTCCCATGTTTCTTCCAAGACATCATTCAAGTATTTTTTTAAAATTGTGAACATACTTTTCTTGATATCGCACAAAACACCACACGCCAATATTGTTGACAAAAGAAAATGACAAGAGACGCAAAAATGCAAAAATTAAGCAAAAATAAAGTACTGTTTACCTTTCTAAAACATTTGGGAAAAAAAGGCGAATAGACAACATAAAATTTCTAAATCATTTTTGTTTGAGGAATATTAAAAAAGCCATAATTCCTCCTAAAAGTTCAATTAAAAACAAATGCCCCTTCATGACAAAGCTTCTGTGAAATATTTTGCTGAAAACCTGGTTGCATCGCATTGCGATGTTCCTTGTTTTATTATTTATTTTGCTTTAAAATGTAAACACTTATCAAGAAATAAGATAAAAATTAACAACAAAAACAAAAGTTCAATGAGATGATAGAAGCAGCAGATTTCATGACATCGATTGCGGCAACCTCTTTAGCCTGTAAAAAAGTTTGTAACCATTTATAAGAATCACACAAAATAATATAAAAAAATAATAATTTTCATACATTCAATTGCATACTTTTTATACGCCCGTTTGAAAAACGGGACATATTATGGGAACGCCCCTGGCGGGCGGGCGGGCGGTCGGCCGGCGGGCGGCGTCCAATTTTGTCCGGAGCATATCTCCTACATGTATGGAGGGATTTTAATGAAACTTCATATAAATGTTCACCACTATGAGGAGCAGTGTCGCGCACATGAACCAGGTCTCTAGGTCAAAGGTCAAGGTCACACTTAGAGCTCATTGAAAAATGCTTGTCCGGAGCAAAAACTTCCACATGTATAGAGGGATTTCAATATTACTTGGCACAAATGTTCACCATTGTGAGGCGGAGTGTCGCGTGCAAGATTCAGGTCCTTGCGGCCAAGGTCAAGGTCACACATAGAGGTCAAAGTTCAGATAAAAATATGAAGATGTGTATATGTACCATTTAGTCATCATTTATTGAGGGATTGTAACACAAATGGTCATTATCAAGACTATGGCTGTGATACATATAATTTAGGTCAATATATACAAGGTCAAGGTCACTAAAGATGATGAAATATCCAGATTTTGTAAATAGAATTTAATCAAAGGGAGACAACAAAGTTATTACTTTGTTCATAAATGACTTACACAATTACTCCCC